CCCCCTTGAGACAACATACGCTTCATATTTTATACATTCACCACATTTGATTGCAGTAACTCGGCCATTGATTGCAAGCTATGGATAGTTCCCACATATCTCCGGTTCCGCTGACACTATGTTCAGATAGCTTTGATAAATTGATAAACTGCTTTGCGATCATAATCTTTCAATGCGCACGAATTTGAGCACTTGGGCGAAAAACTTAACAGTGGTAATCAAAGAGGACTTGGGTAAAGTCCACGTGGTAACGTTGATCTGTAAACTGTATGTTCGAATCACGGAACCACGAGAGATTATAAGACGACATTAATGAAATTAGATTAAGAGCACGCCTGACGGGAACTGCATAGTTCTTCATATGCTTCATCATCGCTTTCTAATTCATAACTCATTTGCTCAGAAGTAAAGTAGTTTTTCGTTTACCTCGTACTGTGTTTAAAAATTCCGACGTAGATTACCTATGTGCTATACGAATCCCATCTACGAAGCTTGCGCGCATATGTTATGATGCAACGGAACGAAAGTTTGTTTGTCAGTTACAAAAAGTAAGATATTAGATTTCAAGTTCCTGGAGATTGGTGGTCGACAAAAATTAACGCGCAGGAAGCGGTTGTAATAAAAACGGCAGGGTCGCTTACCTTAACTTTTGTCTGCCGGCATGCAATGCCTTCTCCATTCAAAGCCATCGCGTACGGTCAGGTCCGCTGAATATCGCATATCACGTTTTGGATATATACGTAACTATTTCACTTGAAAAATTGAAGAGGATGAAAGATAAAACAAGCTTGAAATACATTTTTTTTTTTCAACTATTTGTGAATTACTAAAGGTCGGTGTCGTTGTCAGCCCTCTCCAGCCTGTTTCCTGTTAAAATACCACCTTGTCTTTTCGCTTGTCCGACACATATGATCGGTCTTTTCCCGCTACTATCCACAAAATTAGCTGTTGCAATTATATCAGTATCTGTATGAGACGAAGTCCGACACCAGTAATGCGTTGTTAAAATTTCTTAACTCTACATTTTCCTGATGTGCTGCTGAAGTGTAATGAGGTTTTCCACGTTAAGGTTTCTGAATTTATATTTGGCGAGAAATAGAAGCTACAGATTATCACTTCTTCGTCTTCTATTTGAACTAAAAGTTCTTCACTTCTTGCCTCATACGGCGCTTTAAATGTACTTTCTAGAGTTATTGTTCAAAATTTTGTGTTCTTAATATTTTCAGAGCACGCATCCGCACTAAAGCGTAAACCTAACGCCACTCTGTCTCTCTAAGTACACACTGACTGCTCACATTTGCATATGCTTTACGAAAAACTCTACTATTTATGTGGCAAAATGGAAAAAAATTTGCCATGCCCACATTAAGCTAATTGTTTAAAATTATTTTGTACATTTCTTAACAGATGGTAATACTATCTTCCTAAAAATGCGTTAATTCTAAAATAAATATGGCGGACCCCAGAACGTGGACGTCGATATCGGAATCACATAAGAAGACTTGTAGTGTAGAATGCGAAAAGTTAAGTGTGCTCATTCTAAGTTTATTTTGGCGGACGCCACGACGTAGTGTGTTTGCGAGTTTTGGCTCCAGTCAAATATAACTTTTTACTATTTTCAATTTATATATATTTTGAAATCAAAGCAAATTTGGTTTACACTCTTTCAAAATCCCCAAACCATATCATATGTTAATTGCTATGGTGAAATGTGTGCTATTTGAGTGCTCTTGAATGTACGCATAACTTTGGGAATTTTTTGATAAACATTTTTTTAGTGAGTAACAACTCACAGCTCGTTGTCTTCTAATGAATATAATGTAAATGTAAATGTGTGTTGCTTTAACTGATGTGAACACGGTCGCGATTCGCGATTGGTCCTTATGGCATTCTTACTTATTCATTTATATAATTAGTCGTAGATGACAGATAATCTCTTGGATAAATATTGAATTTCAATTAGGAACATTTATTAAAAGTAAACAACTAGTAACATATTTATTTTGTATGTAATGTGCAATATATGTAAACGGTTTAAAATTATAACCGTAAAACTCCTTTCATGCACATGCCTCACGTGTCACTCGACCGTTTACTGTTTTATTATCGCTACAAGTAGGTTATTATCACTACTATCTTATCTACCGGAAAGGCATTTTTTGCCAACACATGCACACACATCATAGGGAAACTTATGGACAGTTAGCAGGTATGCGTAATAAACATAATTTCAGTCTTCGCTGCTATACGCAACGTCATTATCAGTTAATCTGGTTTCTCTCTTCACGTTAGTCCTATGGGAATTATGTGTAATGCACTCTACTACTCTTGTCATTTAATATGCGGTTTACTTCAACAGGTCATTTGTGTGCACGTAGAGGATATATTTCCATTCATGTTCCTCTGCTCACATTTTAATTATTGTGAGAACTTTGCAGGATAATCTTAAAATTAATATTGTATAAAACCAGTTTTTTGTTCAGATTTTTTTTTTTTTTTTTAAGGGGAAAAATTTTGCTATACCTTTAACTTTAATGTGACATATTAAGTTTCGTTGTTAAATATTTTGTTGCGAACGCCTACCATTGACTGTTCTCATGCTTCAATGTTTAATTTTCGAAATTTCTTGCATTTTAGTGATCATACTTTCATATCAAGCTCAAAGGCAAAATCAATAGAAACCGATTTCTTTTAATGTTAGCTTACGTCTATTTGAACACTATATATTTTCTTTGTTAATTTAAGTAACAAACTGGAGGGGCAGTTATTTATTCTTTATACGTCCACTAAACGAATTGTTCGGCTCGCGAAATAAAGTTAAATTCTAAACAATATTCGCTGAAATTGAAAAAAAGTGCTGGTCTGAAAGTTTCCAAAGCATTTTAATTAGGAAGCAAGAACATAAGAAGCGGAAAAAGAGAAAATGAATGCATATGAACAAAACTACCAATTGAATACAGTCCACAGAGGCTCGTATTAATGGTTCAATACAAAATTAAAAACCACGATGTTAGTACGGGGATAGTGTGTACTCTACAGTGCAATGATGAATAATAAATAAATACCCCGGCGTTCAGTTATCAATGGTATTATATACGCAATAGATCATTATCGGAATGCATTGGGTGCAGTGTTGCATTTTATTAAAATTTTTACTACTAAAGTTTCTTGCTTTGAAACTTTCCAGCCAAAAGAAGGAAATAGAGTGAAGAGTTTTTTTTTTATATGGCCTAATAAAAGAGGAGGGAGGTATTTTAATTTATTCTTTTCCGTCGACATTTCTTCATAGTGCAATTAATATAAATCTGCTCTTATTGTCCGTCCGACTTCTTTTTAAGGACGTGTTAAACATTATTGTTATTATTTTCTAACGTTTGATGCAAGAGTTTTGCTTATAGACAAAATGCATTCATCTTGCTGACTGTAGGTATTAAAATTCAATTGATATTTCACAATTGTTGAAGACATAAATATAACCACAGCTTAATATCGAATATCAATCATGGTTTTCGTTACTTTTTATGAATTTATTGATTTTTTTTTTTTTTTGTATTTGTGGTTGCTTCAACTCCGCATATATGTTTTTTTGCGCATATTAATCATTCTCCTACCACATCGGCTACCAACGACGAAATCAAAAACTGGATGGGGACACCTATGCACGAGTAATTCTGTAAATTTCTACAAAAGATATTTAAAGGTCACCACTACAACGAGTTGTCGTTTCGTAAAAAACAAGAGCAAATGAAGCGAAACTGCTATATAATTGAATTTTAAGAAATGAAGTTCGCCATTGGTTTTCAATAACAAAGCACTTACATTAATTTAGGAAATGGTGTTCACAAGAAAACCATTTACGTATGTGAATACTAGTTCGAGAAATTCGTGTTTATGTATGGCTCTATTATATTAGGGTTGGAAAATTTACTACACAACAGAAATTCGAGTACATGTACGCAGACATAAAATAAAATATAAGCATTGCCAGTCTTACACGTATCTATCTATCTGCATCGTATATGTGCACAATACAGAAAATGTGTGAAAAAAGAAATAATTACGCATAAAACACAACCACATATAAAAAACAGGAAACACCCTTCCACCAACCAAGTGTGAACACAAGAAGCGTTATCGCTCTCATTACGCTTCGAGATTGCGTTATCTGTTCTAGCATATGAAAATTGAGAGAGCCTTACGTCGTTCACGATTGAAATTTCATTTGATTATAAAGCTTGCAATGATTGCATAGGAAAAATAAAAGCAAACCAAAGTCTCATCTCGTATGAATCCATTGACTTTTTGTTAGTGTAAACGTAAATGCAAAAGTCGATAGTTAGGTAACCAGCCTAGGTAGTAACAACATAGCGAAGTAAAACGAGAGAGAGAGAGAGAGTTCGGGTCGATACTCTTTATGAGTGAATAGGTAGACGATCAATGTCTTGTTTTTAATCGTGAATAAAAATACAAATTAGTTCTTTGTCAGTTGCACATATATAGCTCATTCGCTCTCCCTCTCTCATGTTGAGCAAGCTTAATGTTTACGAAGCGAAAAAAAGAGCTAAAAAAAAGTAAAACAAGCTACTGGTTCATAAAGAGAATAAGTGTTAAATTGTATGTGTCGGGTCTGGCCCTTCTGTTTTATTTACACATACGTAAATGAGTATATTAGCTGAGATGGGAGGTGGGAGGCGGTGGGAAAGCAATATATAGGAGGATTAATGTCACTGCAAGAAGAAGACAAGAAAAAAAAGAAAAATTGTTTTCCGTCTATCTTTTACTATAAGGGAAAGAAGAAGAGCCAATGAATTGGTTCATCTTTACTCTTTGCTCTGTAAGTATGTTAAGTAAGGACAATTGAAATTTGTAAATTGTGAACTGTTTGTTTTCGTTCACTTTTTATTTCTTGATATTGTCGTTCTTGTTGAAATTTTGCAATTATTGCTACGCTCCCTCAGTAATTTCAGTCGATTGTTTACTGAATCGATTCAAGCTTGAATTAGTTGCTGTCTTTAGTTCGGTGTTGCAAGTTGCTCTTAGATACACTTAAATATCAAATTGTTTAGTCTTCTCAACTCGGTGCCGCGTAACGGTTCTCACTTTTAAACCTTACAACTTTGAAAACATAATTCCACATTTACATTTAATAAGAAATTATTTTAAATGAAAAAAATTATCTAAAAACGTAACGGCACAAATCAGATATTCAGGATTCGGAAGGATTTTCTACATTTAAATGCAAAATTCAATGCAAAACAAGTTCTCACGTTGCAAGGTGCTAAACATATTCCATATTATTTTAAAGAGATTTTTTTTTTCTTTTTTTTAATTTTTAATGTTAAGTTTCGATGTGAGAAAGCCAGTTTCGTTTAAACCTCGCTTTGGAAAGTGGAGAAGTGTGAAGATTGAAAAAGAATTTTCTCGAGGGTATCACGACAGTGCCCGAAAAAATGCCTATATCTCACGTGAACTCTTAATTACACGTATGTGAAATTTATAACAAAACACTTTTGAAAATTTTAAAATGGATATGAAATTATCAAATATTTTATGGAATATCGCAAAACAAAATCGAACAATAAGCATTATGTGCATCGAAAATTTCTTCTGTTTGGCGAAATCTAATAGAAAGTTTTTGTTATTCGATTTCGAAGTTATTGATCCGGTTCATTTTTTCGAAAATGTTGAATTTTTTTTTTCCAAATTACTATTCGAACATATACAAAAGCGTTTATTTGAAAGAAACATTATTAATTTTTCCGCGCATTATCACCATTTCAATGGTCGATGGCTCTTGAAAGTCAACGAAATTCAATCCTCTTTGTTCGCAATTTTTCTTTTGATCTTTCTCGTGAAGATCAGGTCAAATCAAATTAATTTTCTAACTGCATACATACATATATTGTATGTCCTCAGAAAATCAAATCTTAATAGTTGTGATTAGAAATCAACTCAAGCATGGTTATCGATCTGATCACGCATCTGTCGTTGGAACTGGGAAAATTTGTAATATATTTAAAAAAGAATTCGACTAAAATAAGGAAAATACACTTTACTGTGTTACAGATTCAAGTTTAATAACAAATAATATATTAGCGGAAACTGTTCAAAAGCAAAGAAGCCTGCCACGGCTCTAGAACTCAAAAAACTTTGGAATTTGCACAAGATATGTAAACTTCCTTTGTTCATGGCTAAAGTCGTTTCGAACGATTCCTTCACATGCGCTTCGAAACGGATATAAGTTTTGTATTTGTCCTCGCATTCTTATTATTGCAGACTGAATACAATGAGTGAAATTTTTCTTAAAAATTATAAATCGAATTTAAGATTGAATAATACACAAGTAATTAAAGTTAATTCAAATTCAAGGACAGAAATGTTAATTCCTTTGAATATCCACGATCTGCTGGGATACCATACCTGATATTAAATCCTTGGCAATAGGCTACGATCTTTGTAAAAGTGAAAAAAACACCAAGGCACTTAACAATTTTTGAGGTTCATGTCTTTGTCGCGAAGCGAAGAAATACCGACGAAATATTTAAAAAGTTAAATTAAATTAGAAAAAGTTCACCTAATGTTCACAGAAGCAAAAAAAATTGTGACCCATTACCATGCAATATACATGCAATGTTTGTGTGTAGTGTACAAAGTTGCTCTAAATATTAAAAGCCGTCCAAACGGTCTGATTTTAAATAGACTTTCGAGAAAATCGTAGAAAAATTAAAAAGAATGATAGAAAGAGTTGATTCAATTTTGTGTTAAAATCCACTCGTTTTCTCTTCTCTTCATCGAATCGCCAGCTGACATTCTGCCTAACGGCATTTATTTTTATGGTCAGATCCCATCCAGTATAGCAAATAAAAATATATATACCTATATAAAAAGCACGCACCAGACCTCCTTTTTCGTCCTAAATGATTAAAATTAACAAAAGCCAATCACTGAAGCCAATTAATGAAAACATCACACATTATTGATATGGATAAGTTAATGAGATCGATTTATGCTCGCGACACGCGCTGCTCTATTAATATAAAAAAATAATATACATGAATGATCGAATAAGCCACTATTTAACAGACGGCATATAAACACGGCTGCGGCTAATAAAGACAATTGCTCTCTGCAAATATATTCAACTTATACGCAATTAAATATTTATTAAAAGATTTTATTAAGCTCGCATTAGAAACTAACGCTGTAACAAAATAGTGATACAATTATAAATGATTTAAAGTGAAGATACAGAGGAACATTCCAAAAGAAATGTTTGAACTGAACGTATTTGCGTATATTTGGATCTAACTCTTTCTTTACTAAGAAGCGAAAAAAATCTTTAAAAAACTATGGGTTACGCACATCCTCTAAATATTGCAATATATGCTTTCGCTTGCACGTCGACGCCATGAGCCAATGAAAAGCCGTGAAAACGAACCAAAAGGAAAGCGCTCTGAATCGTTTCTTTAGGAGAGGAGAGACAGACTCTCCGGAATATATGAATATGTCGTTGTCTGCGGGTAGTTCTGTGTTTTTATGAGTCAAGGTGGAAGAAAAGTTTGGATTGTCGTTTTATATGCGTCTTCCGTGCCAACAATGAAAGTATTCTTAGAGTAGCAAGCGGAACTGTGCAATTGTTTCGAGGAACACCACAACTATTTCCAAAAACAAATTTAAATTAAAATATAAATGAGTGCATATTTTTTGACGAACTTTTCGGTGTCGTTTTTACAGTTGTCCGAAATCTACAAATTACGATGCATAGAAGGGTTAAACCGAAAAAGCCGAGAAACTCAATAAAACATCAAACACATTTTCTTAAAGGAGTCATGTCATGGGATTGCTGCATAACAGTTCCAAACTCTTGAAAATAATTCTGGGTAAGTTTTTTCACACGTGTGTACATATATGCGGATGCGTTACTGTCAAAGTTACCCACAATTTTCCCCATTAAAGTATGGAAAATGATATATGTAGAAAGGGATAATAATAGGAACGCAGAAATCCTTTTACTTTCCGTCCGCCCTCTCAATTGATAGGTTGGAACAGTTTGCAGGCAAAATACTTGTAAAGTTTCGATGAAATATTCCATATACACCGTGAATATAAATAGTTCAATTTCTATGATTATTGTCATTTTTATACCCTACATCACTTGCCGTGCAAGAATATATTAGGTTTGTGCGGAGGCCTCCAGACAGAATCGTCTTTCGTTATATCAATCGACTCAGAATCTCTTCTTGCATCGATCGAAGTTTGTCTGCCTGCCTGTGTGGCTTTCTTTTGCTGAACCTGCAAGACGCAATTTTTGAGATATTTAGATGAAATGCGATATGCCGTCATATTTTGGTCAGGATGAGCGCCCTTGCATATGGTTCGGATCAGACCACTTTCTCGACCACTTTCCATACAACGCCGCCACCATTTTCTAATGGATGATGCTTTCAATGCTTTCAATCGAAACGTTCAACATGGTCGGAAACGTGAATCCGTCTGTTGTTGTAAAATTCTGTCCGTCATTTGAAATCGAAATGTACACACTTCGAAGGTATGTAACTGATGCCAAGTAATACAATTAGTACCAGAGGCAATCAAAATTACAGGACTCCTAATAAAATCAACACATTGGTAATGTTTTAATATTTTTTCAATTGAATGACGTTTGGCTAAGAAAATTAAATTTGTTCTTGCTAAATTTGAAGCCGATATCTAGATTTTAGAGACCAGGGAAATGTTTATCACACATTACACAAAGGGACAGATAAACAAACGAATACCTTTATTGACCTCCAGCAGCTTCCTTCTAGGCGTTGCAAGCGTTTTCTGAAAACGAACATACAACCACTCTTCAGTAGTTGATATAAAACTTACACATACGTGCCGCAAACTACTGAAAACACTACCACAAATACAAGATATTATACTCATTTCTTCACTTTACTCAATTTTCGTCGCAAAATAAGGTATGTTCTACAGACATGGTGTGCATAAATAATTTTATTGATTAATAACGGGGTGTTTGTACAGATAGATTTAGTCAAACCATTTGTACACACATACAATGAGCATGGAAATTGCAGAGAAATAATACATTTTATTGCTCATGCGCATACTTGAATGAACATACAACATACCCTATTTGTATGCGAATGGAAACACAAACAATTCACCCCATGCAATGAACCAATGCTTTCGTGGGGCGGAGTTACAATGTGCTTTGTGGTTAGCAAATATATATATAAATATATATATATTCGTCCGCGTTTGTCTACGTGTGTATAACTTTTAAGATATTATTTGCAAACTCGTTTGCTACGCAATTTTTTCTTTTTTTTCGTAATCATGTCTGCGATTGTAAAGCGTATTCATAGTTACATAGTTGTGGAAAGGTTCAAAAGCCTCCTTCCAATGACCAGAAATAAGATCATTATGAAAATGTGGATTACTCTTGCAAGTTGCAATCTTGATATCGGTTATAAGCCGAGCAAAACTGCCGTACATAATTTCTACTGGGTAGTTCGCATCGAACGAGAGACAAAGCATTAAAATACTCAAGGGTTATGTTTGCAAGTTATTCACAGTTCCCACAGATATTCTGTTATTTGCTTATCTGTTTTAATTTAATGTCCAGAATAAAGTTTATCTCTCTCTCTCTCTCTCTATCTCGATCTCTCTGTCTCTCTCTCTCTAACAAAAATGATCATCTTCCAGTAAGAAATTAAGCTTTCTTTCTGTGACGCTCAAACGGATATCAAAGCTGGATGCAACACTGTTTCTTTCGCCTAAACTTAGTTTATATATTCAGCAATGATTAATTCAGGACCATTTCTGTTTTAACTGCCTTCAAAACGTCTAATTCCGTACTACCAAAACTCATATTCAGGAATTTCTTTACTGTGTATATCAAGGTAAATAAAACCGAGTTTGGGCTAAATAGCTTAAGAGGTACTAGAAACCTTTTGAAAAGAGGTACTAGAAACCTAATTGTTGAATCATTTCACACAAAATGAAGACAACAACCAAGGAGTTGCCGCCGTGTCTGCGACAATCTCTCTTGCTTTCACCGCTTCCGACGACCACCTGCAGAGATTTCTCAGAGAGCAGTGCATAATTCTTTTAAAGTGGAATTGCTCTTCTCTGATTATTGGAACTCGGGTAATTGTTGTACAAAGTCATGCAAATGAAGAGGAGAGGTTGGCGGTTACACTACACCAGTGCGTGTACTGTTCTATGCGCGGCCACTTAAAGGAAGATTTTGCTCAACAATCCATACAAACGTTTCGTGCTTACTGTTCAAGATGAAAGCTCCCACTACCCCCAGCAATTTAGCAAGTTGGTCAAGATATTTTTCGAAAGTCAATCCGAAAAATCTGCGAACGATGTATTTTTTTCGATTATGTGAATAGAAAGTTGATTGGAAAGAGAGAAATTAATGAGAGGTTGTCGCCGAGTCGGCCTTTTCCAATAAAGGCACTAATGCACACTGCCTTTTCGAAGCTTCTTCTTGACCTAGCTAGTTGCGTTAAATCTCAACCAGCATTGTGTTTACAGAATTACTTTCTCGACTATGATAAAACTATTCAACATACTGAAAGATTATAAACATCCTGACAGTTTATTCTTTGCTCTCAAATCGTGCGCTTCCCATTTTCTTAACTTTAAACTGCTTACGGGAAACAAAATGGTTTCGCAGACTTTTGTTTTTTTTTGATAATTGAAATGTTTTTTAAGAAAAAGGATTAACATTAACGATTGGCGAATATTTAAGAAACTTGAGCAATAACAAAGGGCAAATATACTTTAAGAAAAATCTTGAAGGAAATCTTGAAAGGAAATATATTGCAGCAAAGTGTTTTGTAGATAAAGAGTGGGTCTGTGTCCTTTGTGGATGACAGATGTAACGTTGATTGCAACATTTTGGGTGGTGATGTCGTAGTGCGCTAGATCTGCAAAGCACAATAGCTAGACCAGCAATTCGAACATCAATTCAGACGTTTTCGCCATTCTAGCCATTGGCTTGTGAAACCGTGCATTCGCGGTTATCAAAAATGAATTTCAGGGTTTTTTAAGTTTTCCTGGTGTAACCACTTGTTATGGGGCATGTTGTTTGAAGCTTTCACTTTCCAAATATAATAGGGGGTTCCTCCTTCGAATGACGAAGCATACGTGTAAGTCCTGGGAATTATTGACCAGTGTATTATAGTGCTCCCATTACATGTGTATTTGTAATTTGTTTTAATGGCATCAGGAGTCTGCCTTCCTCCTCATGGACGGATAAAAAGGCAAAAACTTCTTCTGTGTCTCATATAAGTCAATTTAAATATTAATATAATTTTTATATACAACTAGTGCTGTTTGGCAGAATTTGTTGATGTTTCATCGATGCTTAAAAAGCATGCATAGATGTGTGTAAATGAAATAAGAGCAAAATTGCGCAGCAGCTTTTTGGGGATGTTTCATCTATTAATCATTTTCCTGATTTTTCCATTCATTGCTTAGATTCTTTGGAAGATCAAGAGGGTGGAGCTATGTACATATCATGCGATGTCTCAAACGCAGGCCCCGCGGAACCAGAAACAGGATATGTTCCCAACAATCCATTGTTCGGTTTAACGTTGGACAGTCCGCAGGTAATTTAATCATAGAACGGCATTTTATTTGCTTTTAATTTACATACTTAAATTCTTATTGTCACTTCACGCTCCTGCATATATTCCTAGGGCGATTTCTTTCTTAATAGAAAGTGTTGTTGTTGTAAAAAAGAGAAAATTATCTTTAATTAAAACCGAGTCATCAATTGATGTCAATTAAAATTCTTTAAAAAAATGCATTTTGAAGCAAAGAAAAAAAACTTGAATGTTAAATAAGAAAAAAGTGATTTCTTTAAAAAGTGTTGTGTAATATGTGTGTGTGTGATCACGTAGCTACAATTTAGCATAAGCGTTAGTTAGAGTCAAATGTTGTGCTTGATAGTGTTATGCACACAAAAGTATTTTAAAGAGGAAAAACTCCATTTTCGTGGAAAGGATTAACCAATTTTCAGGTTATGAGACATGTAGGCTCGCATTGCAACTCAGAACAAATGTACAGCTCAGAACAAATGCAACCCCGGAGTGCATGTCTTCAGTTTCTAAGGAAGTGACATTATATGGATTCAAACCGAGATCTTGAAAGCGTTATGTGGAAATCTACTCAACGAAGAAACGACAAATAATACCTATAATACTTCTCTCCCATCCGCAAAGCGCTCGTTCGCACTGGTCACGTTACGATTTTCTAAAGATGAAAATGGCATGTAACTAACTACATTTTGTAACTGGTATTTATGAACTCAATGGAAATTGCAAAAGGTGATGAGTTTCTGATTGTTCTATCATTCTACATCATTATCGAAAAATTTAGGATTCGGAGGAGCAGTTGGAATGAAATGCAAGGAAAGCTACACGAACGAAAAGAACTAAGCATGAAACCCATTTAAAATTTTGGTAAAACAAAACAAAAACGACAAACTTGGAAATTTTCAATAACGTTATAGGTTTTATAAGTCAGACCAAATTCGTTTTCAAAGTTTGATGTCATGGGCCGCATTTTTCGTCAAAATAAATTAACTTCACTAACGGAGACGATGTCCTTCAACTAAAGGAATTAAAACGGAATTTATAAAAGAAATTAGTCATCCGGAGAGAAAACGTCGAGGGAAAACAATATCTCAAGTTCTTGTTGCAGTTGACGCTCAAAATTCACAGAAATTTGGGGAAATGCACATTCAGAAATGCGAAAAATATTTTCTAAAAGCAATTGTGGTCTTTTTGGAGACTTATAGGCTGTCAACCTACGGCGAATCGGAGATCCTCCTAAAAGGCGGAGTGAAATTCTCTATTTGAATTTATCTTTGGGAATGCGGTAAAAGGAGGATGAGAAAGGTGCTTTTCTCATTTATTCATTGCTATCCGCAAATAAAATTCATCGAGTTTCTTGTTAGCTGAACAAAATTTCGCAGTCGCCGTTGACATTCACTTTGTTTATTTATCAAACATTTCTTCTTTTTAAAAACGAACAAAAGAATCGCAAAAACTCCGACTTTAAAGTAAATATAACTTAAGAAATTAAACACTTTTTACCCGGAGGCGATGAAAGTGAATAGAAAAATCGTTCAACGCTAGATCTGACGGACTTTTCATTTTGAGCTTAAGAAGTCTGTGCAGGGAAGCGGGTTTGTTTAGACGTTATAGTTTGGGTTTTGGTGATATAAGGCAGCGAATACATGGATTTAGTCAAAATATTACAAAATATTAATTTCAAGTTCCCTCGCTTATTCCGAGACACATTGCGCTGCATTTTATCACTATTTGTGAACGTGCTGATGAGGCTTGGATTGTGATCATTTCTGGTGATTCTGCCGTACATGTGGGTAGTAGTTATTCAGAAATATAGCCACGGGATCAAAACTTGTATACGAAAATATTGCGACTGTGACTGGTCCCAGTCAAATTGAAAGGTTTTCATAACAATAGATATAAGCAAAGCGTCCACAAACAATAATTTTTGCGTTACACGTTATTTATTTTTAACCTTATCTTAAGTGTTTGTGTAAGTGTTAATATTAAAAAATAAACTATTTGCGAATGCCCCAGGAGGAAATTTGGAAAAAAATATCTTAATAGTAAGAAAAGTTACTTTGATTTAAAACAATGCCATCGACAATCGTTCAAGAAACTTTATTGGAAACGAAAAACATTTAAATTGATATTGTTGAATGTGTGGAGCGCGTAAAACATATATATACATGTATTTATATACACTTTGTCTTTGGAATAAAGGTTAACAAGTCTATCGCGATTAGAAAAGGAATTGGATAAATCGTTCATATAAAAGACGAGGACTTGTTAACATAAACCATACGTAACAAGTTTGCGGTCAATTTAAAGGGAAAAAATGTAAGACTATCGCAACAGCGATTGTTGCAAGGTTTGCATAACATTATTCATCAACATCGCAGATCAAAAGAAAGAAGCCAAGAAGAACGTATTCGCCAACGCATTGTCAAAGCAATCTAGGATATCTAGAAATCTATATTAAATTGCTTAAAAGAGAGTTTAATATTTGGAAAGACACAGCAAGCATTTGCTGATCGCGCAGATGTAGACTGGTTCGAATACATTCGAATACAAGATACATGTTGCAGTTAACGGACATGGCGGGGGCTATGCAGAGTAAGTAGAGAATAGAAAAGAATGTTCAGGGTTACAATGCTCTACAAAAGTCCTTTAGAAGGCAGTCCCAAACTTATAGGCAAGCCGGCTTTAAATAGGAAAACCGATATTGCAACAAATAAATTTTAACGGGATTGTGGCATATTCTTCGTTCTTCTCAAAATCGTTAGCGAATTATTTTTTTTGGCGTTGAGTATTGGGTTTTACGATGCAGAAGTTTTCACGCTTTTTTTTTTTTTTAAACATACAGCTAATCCTGCGTTTGCGCATTAAATACGGACTACAAGAAAAAAATATTCAGAAACTTCATCAGTATTTATAACACAAATGTGTTTTCACAACGTGCGAAGGAAAATTTATTTGACACGAAAAGGGTCGGGAGAAGGGTCGTATAAAAAAGATTCCCGCAGAAAATTTTTCAAAGTTTTATGAAATAGCGGGATAGTGCTTTCCGAAAAAAAAAAAAAAATGAATCAAATTACACATGGAAACATTTAAAAAATTATGCTTTCATTTAAAACAAGGAGACATTTTCAAAATGTACGGATTCAATGCGGATCGTCATAGTCTAAAGCGCGCATATTCTTCCTCTTTCTCTCTTTTTATCTCTATACATATTCCTAGACTGCATAAAAAAAGTTTCACAAAAAAAAAATTGCACAAACTAAAAGAGCTGCATAAAGCCGAAGCGAACAAGAATGCGTGCGCAAAAACAGGCTTAACTCACCTCGTCAAAGCTCGCCGATCCGGTTTAGTTCACCTGTTTAATATAACCTTCGAATAAATTCTTTATGATAGGTGATTAGCAACGGAGTTATCATAAAAAAGGTAAATATGCTACCACTGTATGAAGACACGGCCTTCGTTTTGTCTATGTCTATGTGTCTCTCAGTTCTACAACTGCCAAGCTTGAAAAGACTACGAGAAGATGTTAAAATTTAACAATGTGCTCGCATAGCTAACAAAGCCTTCCATAATAGTTAGGATGATAGTGATTCTGATCTCGTGAAAACCATTAACATGCTACAATTGACGCTTCTTACATTAATTGCTATACTATGTGTTCAAAGCTCACCTTAAAAAATAAACGCCAGTGATGAAGACAGCTTGTTGTCGTTAATCGGTTTTATTTAACCACAAACAAGGGGTCATTGTGCACATTATCACTAGGTTTTTATTCAACGGCTTGCCTATTATATGGGTTTGAAGGTCTAGAACATTTCAGAATTTATTACGACCTCTATTACTAGCAACAGTGGGAATATATAATTGCTTGTTGTTACTACTATTATAAAACAACAGCTCAGCAATTATTTTATACTCATTACCGGAGCTTTCGTAATTACCGGCATAGTCATTTAGTTTTGCTTCTTTTCTATTTTTATGGTTGGAAAAAGGAAAGGCTGGGGATGAGTCTTTACTTTGCGTTTTCCTATGTTTGCAGTGAACTACATTGGTCTTACAAATCACATACAAAAGCCTTTATATGCTTAAGTTGGCCCTTATATTTTTCAACACATCATTGTCGGCCTTAATTGTTTGAAATTTACAACTTCTTCCCAACTTAAACTTGGTAAACTTGGTTTAAAATTTTCGTTATAGTATGTTCCAAGTTGGCTTACGCCAAACCACCATTAAAAAAATTGTTTATTTATATTACGTTATGGATTGTTACTTTTAAAGGCAAGCAGGATATTTAATCTTTTAGAAGTATATCGCAATATTGACATCAATTATTCACCGCTTACTTTCGGTATATGTGTTTTTAGCACGAGTGCGCCGCTTCCTCCTGTGTTGGGTGTTTGTCGTGTCAAGGTAATACAGCCCTACCGGTATCCTCACTGCCTACGAACGATTTCGATTGTGGCTCATGCTTCGATGCAGCCGTTGGTGAAGGTTCGTTCAACGTCTCTGGCTCTGTACAAAATTGCACACAAGTGAACTTCAATAGTGGGGATAGTGAAGGAAACTGCGCCGCTAATTACTGGTCTGCGGATGAAATGGCCTCAACGTTCCCAGGACTCTCACCTTTAGACATCGATCCATTGCCCAGCTTATTCCCATTCTCTCCATGTGGTACCTCTTATAACTTTTCTGCAAATCCACATCAAGCTTCACTCTCGTACACCGTTCATCCACATCAAATGTTGATTTCGCCTAATGCTCATAACCAAACATTATCCGCTAACATACAGTCCTCGCACGGCAACACTTTAAGCTCCACAGATCAAGCATGTTTTTATGAGCCTCCTAACCCTGTCGCGTCATCATCATCAACAATGGTAAGTAACACCTGCAATAACCAACAAATGAGTGGCGTAGGATCAGCAGCTATGTATCCCAGTATGAGTGTAAACGTTAGCATGAATATGACAATGCATGGATATGGGTCGGCGGACGGTTCTGTGCCAATGCAATGTTCCCAGGTACAACGCGATTTTTTGACTTGTAGATTGGAAAGCTAATATCACTATAAATTACAGTGGACTCCAGCTAACAGTTCATCGTCAGTTAACGTTTTATATCCGCCGGTTTTGAGTCCTTCTCACTACCCCGCTGCCGCCACATACTCATTCACAGCGGATTTCCGAGCACCACCAATGCAAAGCAATCACAACCCGGTTATATTACCATCTCTTGCAGAGGCTGTGGAGAAGGTGCCTTCTTCATCGCCTTCATTGTCCCTTTCTGCTGCTATCACTCCAAAAAGTTTCCACGCAAACACACAAATGACTCAGGCTTATTCTCTAAACACAAAAAGTCCAACTTCATGCACACAAATGCGTGACACAAAACCAATAACAAACACCACCGCAACCACAATTTCACCTAGCACGGCTCCCATCATTGCCGCGACTTTTGATGATGAAGATAGCAATGATGAAGGATCTGATAGCAAACCTAACCTTTGTCGTTTGTGTGGAAAAACATATGCTCGGCCAAGCACATTGAAAACCCACTTAAGAACGCATTCTGGCGAACGGCCTTACCGTTGTCCCGATTGCAATAAAAGTTTTTCACAAGCCGCAAATTTAACAGCTCATGTACGCACACATACAGGACAGAAACCTTTTCGCTGTCCTATTTGTGATAGACGTTTCTCACAAAGTTCCAGTGTCACCACGCACATGAGAACCCATTCAGGAGAACGCCCATATCGTTGCTCCTCGTGTAAAAAGTCGTTCTCGGACAGTTCAACTCTAACAAAACATTTACGGATCCATAGTGGTGAGAAACCATATCAATGTAAATTATGTTTACTGAGGTAAGTAAATTTTCAGGCATTTGTTAAGACAATAAATATTTTTATGCCTTAGGTCAACGAAAATTTCTGTAAACTAGATCAGCTTAGAGAAAAGCAGGGAAAAACGATCTTTCACCCAGTTATTCGTTGTAAACTCAAAGTTTATTGACTTTTCAATCTAATAACAGATGTAATATGACAAAAAGCCACTTCGCATCTAGGTATATAGAAGCCAGCTAGCTATAAATTTCCAAGATTTTTCTAAATACAACAATTTTGAGTTATCGGTACAAGATATTTTACAAGACGATTCATAACGTTTTGTATTTCCGCGAATTTCTTGCTCGGAACACAATAAATAAGCATTGACGATTTCAAATTGTACATCATATATAATCACAAGCGAGAACATCCCATAGACGTTAATAAGAAATGTTGTCCAAACATACGCATCCCTCGATTAGTTAGCTAAAAATTGTATACAGAGGAACGACCGCTTAAAGTGACGCATCATAGTTTTTCACGCATCTTAGAAAATGCAATCAAATCCAACGAGTCTGAAAAAGGTGAGATAGCTGAGGAATCAAGTGGAAGTTTAGAAACAATAAAGCATTGCGTGCGACAGAATTATTTCCTCTTGCCATAAAAAAAAAATTAAAAATAAGTTGAGAATTTTTCTTTCTAAAGAAGACAAACGTACTTCATATGAATAACTAGTAGGATAGAAGTGCGTGACTACTTGCTTAATTAGAAGGAGATGGCAATTCACAAAATTGTGCTGACTATAGATGCATAACATAATTTTGTAGCTGATACAAAATAACCAGTGACATAATGTGAGGCGAAGAAGTTATTTTCACCTACTGACCGAATGATCAGAGAACAATTCAGCAAACGAAACTTTCTCCGGCTGTACACTGCCACTTAAGTTTGCGTAGCGGCAGAAACGTAGCACGTCCAAGCTAAACATCAAAAAAATGATGAGTATAACGATTTATTTATTATGTGCAAGGTATGTATTTGGCTATTGCTATAATCTCGCTGAGGAATTTGGCGGCTGATAAGGGTTCCCCACATTGTTCACAGCAGCAACCATTGACAAATTTTACAAACTCAGACATCTTTTTAAAAGCCGTGCAATTGCCTGTGTTAACATAATAACCAGATTCAGTTACGCTATTTCTATTTAAAACTCAAGAAAAGCTAAACTTAGAACTTATACAGAAGCGATTAATTTCCTTTACCCGTAAATGAATCCGCTTTTTGTTATAGAACTAATTTTACCCGTTTTTTCAGATTCTCACAATCGGGCAATCTGAATCGACATATGCGTGTGCACGCCACGAATAATAATGGAAACGGTACCTTACTGACATGACAAAAAAATCGCAGTGGAGGCGGTTTTCAACACTACGTTCCACACGCTCACACCTATGGCCACCACGCACATCAACATTCACAGTCACATCACCGTGCACATCATTTGAATGCCAGTAATTATAGCGATTACGGTAATTATAACTTCGGCGATTATGCTTCACCCAATTCACAAAACTATTCAGGGTATTACCTTTGTGCACTTAACAAACCCAAATTAGAGCGATTCTATTAAAGGTCACAGAGGTATATATCACATCTATATGATTGTATGTTTATAAACATGCAATGACCCACATATTATCATATATACATATATATAATTTTTTACAATTTCGGTAGTAAAGTGAAAATTGATTTTACTCTACCGAATCAAAAAAAAAGCGAGTAATCGAAAAACGATGTAATAATATTATGCTCAAATTCAGATGCATACAAATATATGTATAATTTATATATCATCAAGTAACAGTATGTAACTACACTACATGTAAACATGTAAATATGAAAAATGTTATGTATATAAAAAATTCATGCGAAAATATATATAGTCAGATATTAGTTGTTATTGCATAAAAGACTGGTCCAAAATAATTTTGTTGAAACGTCATAATCTTAATCGGAAATTAAGTCAAAATAATATTCGGTTCTGTTTTTCTAAATCCATAATGTTCCTAGCTATACTTGATCGTTTCAGAATGGCAAAATCTGCGTTTCAAAAAGGAATTCACCTTAATCGGTTTGTTAACTGCAATCACAGCAATTCGAATTCATGTGTTAACTTAAAAAGTCTTTTAATCTGAATGGAAAAACTTTTTGATAAAACATTCTCGAATTGCTTTCAAAATGAAAAGAGATTACATTCGGCTGGAATCGAATCGTTTAATACTCACCATCCGATCGTTGATTTTTTCTTTCAATCCACTCGCGATATGTGGATCTACCTCTGTTTTCAATCATAAGAGGCGTTCATGTCCTTTAAAATCAGAAAAGAAATTCGAAATGTGCTTAAGGAAAATATTTCGTACACTTTACACTTTATTAGAAAAACAAAGAGTATTTTGCTGGCCATAGCTTTTAACTACAAAGCATTGTGGGATGTTTGAGTCGGATCCGGGTTAGAATAATTTACAGGCCAAAACATACATATATATGCGATGACGACGACCGGAAACAAAGGCACAAAAGTTCAGATAAAGAGCAGCAAAAATAAAAAGACGCAAACAATTTAGAAATAAGACAAACAGAAAAGGGAAATTTCGGAGTTAATTTAGCTATTCCATTATTTGCAATCAGAAATGTGCACTGAATTCGTGGCAACAAGCAACTCATGATAACGGGCATGTTGGACCAGTCCTAGGCGAATAAAATGACTTTAAGAAATAAATGTACATTGTTACTTTACAAATTCATTTTTATAGAAGTAAGCCTCAAAAATAAATTGTAAATAGGTTATATATTTTCGAAGCGCCTACAAGCCTACTATAAAAATTGATTAAAGACTAGTGTCGCAAGACCGTCAAATAGAATATCTTACGATCACATCGATTTATTTGCAATTGCATGTTGCTTTTCAACATGAATATCAGCACACATACACAATATAAATATTTTCAAAAAATAAACTTAAATTGAATGCAAGTAGAAAAATCTAGATATAAAAACGCTTCACATATTTCATTTACAAACTGTCCATCCTCCGTAAGGTACAATTTTGTTTTCATATACCTATATCCAATTCAATGCTACATAGGAGTTCTCATAATGAAGACTTTATTTATTAAAAAGTCCCTGCAGTTCAGATCGTAACCTTTGCGAGATAATAAATAACAATAGAAAATTCATCATAAGGAATTTTCTCCAACACAATATTAAGCATTCATTTTTAGGATATATAGCATTTCAAAATAATCCGTGGTAGTTGAGTTCGAAATGAGAAACAGCTCTAGAATGTATAGAAAATAATCTGTGGTATATGAGTTAGAAATGAAAAACTGAAATACAAGAGAGAATGATTTGCATGTGGCGCTTAGGTGTAACTAGAGATATACCATATTGCTTTGCGCTTGAATCTTCAACTGCTCATCCTCATCCTTCCTTAAATAATTTTGTCGTTCATACCTAACATATTTTCTATATTGCAATTGACTTGTGCAATGTAAAAGAGGTCGTATTAATTAAATCTTATTCACTTAAAGAATATCTCAAATTGGCGCAGAAAGCTTGTGAAGGTGCCTGGGTTCTTTGAATAAATATCAGTTGTGAAGATTGTTATGACCATCCATCCTTCATTCCATTCTTCTTTTTCATATATAAATACTCTTTTGACTTAGAGGCTTTTTTGATGGTGAGTATAACACGGCGAGAACAGAACAACTAAATAGCCTTCTTATGTTCGATTTCAACTATTGTCTACACCGAGTTCTGATGGAAGAACTCTTGCGAATTATTTTAAAATTTGAGAGAGCCTTCTTTGTTACTTTGTTTGAGAATTTTGCCTATTTTCAACATATACAGTTCCATAAGCGTTTCGAAAGCATAAGTTTTGATATATAACTACTAAAATAATCAAATAATAAATTGTTTTAAAATTTTGAGCAACAGTTTGTTCTTACGTCAAGGATACATTGTGCATTATGCATATATAACCTAAGCATGTGTTGAAATAACCTATTTATACATATGTAAATAAGCATGTCATATTTTTTTAATGTTTATTATTTCTAGACCTAACAGAGGTGCTTCATGTTTTTCCAATTCTTTGCTAACATTGAATACAATAAATAACTAGTCTAGTCAATAAATAAATTATAAACAAAAAGAAAAAATCGACATTTCTTTATACGAATGTATTTGTGTGTACACATTTGGATCTCCTAAAAGGTTTAATAAATTCTGCATTTAACATATATAATACAAAGTGATCGTTGTTTAAGTACTCGAAATCGCAGATTCAAATTTTTCCTTTTAAGATATAGGAATCTTTTGTCATCGAATTGTCATACACCCAGGGTTGGGCTCTATTTTTTTTGAAGCTACAAAAACGCTACAATTTCTGAATCGGTTAGGTCATGTCTATCCGTTTGTATGTCTGCTTGATATGCGTTATTGACACACACAAAATTGAAGATATCGGCTTCAAATTTAGTAGAAACATGAGAAGTTTTTACAGGCAGGTTGATATTGAAAAAGGGTCAAATTGGTCCACTGCAGTAAATCGTAAGATGAACGAAACTCTTCTTTCTCTAAACATAAATTTGTGGGCTTTTGCTCGTTACCCTTAAATTGTGAAAGACAGAAGTGTGAAATTTTCTGCATTTACTTTACTGTACCATTTATTTGCCGAAACGGAAAACTCAGTCATCCCCACACAAAGTTATAAGCGATTACATGTCTTTCTTTCCACTTTTTTGAGGTTTTATGCTTTTCAAACATAAGGGAAACGAAGCGGAATGTGTCAAATTATTTTCCTACGTTAATTCTAAAACGAATTAATTTTTTCATCTTAATACCATGGGTACCCAGTAAACGACTTGGAGAGTAGAATGTGACAAGCTAATTGTTCTAATTCTAATTAATTATAGTCGACGCTTAATAAATAAAATCTCCTAACGTTTACGAGAAACCGTTTTCTGGGGTACTATAATATCGAGTGCCCCAAGATTATGAGTAGTCAATAGAAAGCCCAGAAAATAGAATATTTCCGAGTTTATGTTGGGCCGTTCTTTTTCCGACCTTAGTCAAATACAATTTTCTTACTCCTCTGCTTTTACTCAATTTATATTAAGTTTAGAATTCAACTAAATGTACTCACAAGTCTGTCAACAGATGACGCAAGCGGTATTCTTTTCTTTTCGTTTTTAAAATCAGATTGTTGAACTTTTGCCTCCAATTTCGATATGAAAGTCGTTCAACATCGATTCAAGCGTTCGTTTTGCTATAAGTACAGAAATCACCCATTAAACTAATTTTATATGAATATGAATGTAAGTATACATCCGTCGAGATGAGCTGACGGCGACCGTTGAAATATTTCCATTCAAATTAAGTTTTTTACTTAGTTTTCCCTATTAATGCTCTAATGAAAAGAAACAAGCAAATTACACACGGCTGGGGCGCAATCAATCACTATTCTAAAGAACATTCGAAAGAAACAACGAAAAAGATATACACTGTGTAATATTAGGTGGGCGTAGCTTTGATCATTTTGTGTCGTGTGTAGTCATTACAAAAATAACACGAATAAATCTTAATGATGACGGTCATACGAAATTTCGCACCACCATCTTGTTCTGATGTTAAATGCTCTTTTGCAATCCATTTCCAGATAGGCCGTCCCTCCCGCAGCTACTATTCCATTATTGTATGAATTTCTTAAACCGTGCATTCAACTGAAATAAAGTACCTCCACTGTCACCCTTTCCCATGTAACGGCCTTTAAAAATTGGGAATCGAATAGTTGGACTGATTATTGTCATCAGAAAACAACTTATTAGACCTTGGATAACAATTTACAGAATTACTGAAACTAGAAAATATCAACGCAAATAAAAAAAGGCAATCACGTACTATGGAAGAGCACATAAATAAGTTTATTGTTATTAACTACCATCTAGTGTTGCAGTGTCTTGGAGAGAAGTGACAATAAAAAAATCATGTTTTTAAAAATTGCAAAAAAAAACACATTTCAGCGTTTTAGTATGTTTTAAAAGGTACCAGAAGCTATTCGAAAAATCGAATTTCATTGAGATATCAGGGGCCCACCATCAACAAACGATTGGTGGGTATATACAAGAGGTTTGGTAACCCGTGACATCGTAATTTAATTTTTTTCGGAAGACTTCACTGCCTTTTCCCAAATCGACTTCACAAAATCACGAGTCCAAAGGTCAAATATAAACGTAAAACAAATAGAGGGACCCACTTGCGGAAGATAGAAAATCTTGGGGCCAAAATGATTTTGTAGAGGTCGTATGAAAAAACGAATCGAACGCTGTGATAACAGGTTACAAGCGACTATTTTGTCCTTAACATAATTGTATCACTAAGATAAATTATAATCATTATTTTATTGTAATTTAAATAAATATATATTCATTATTCTTTTAAATTCTTACTTATTTCTAATTGTCCTTACTATTATTCCTTTTTTATTTCACTTTATTCCTTTTCTTGTCGGATTCGGGAACGTATTTTAATTGAAATCTTCATTGTTCAAATTCTTGTGTTCATTGTATTACTATTGCTATTTAAGAAATATTTTTAATTTTTGAACATAAGCCGCGGCGCTATATTTTAAGCCCATGCGGGCGCAAGATAAAGCTTTAAAGATCTGCTTAAACAGATAGTACCACATTTTTTCTTTGAAGAATCGACGGTGTTATATCAGTTTAGTTGAATTCCATAACCAACCATTAACTAAACGATAAACAAGGGAGAAACAAGATTTATCAACAATAATCACAACAACACCACAACGTTATTCCCCAAAACACTAAATGACTTCATATAAGAAAAATTTTAAAAACGATTAAAAAAACTTACTTATTGCTCATAAACAGTTTTATTAAACGATGATACACTATCTAATTTAGACATGTATAAAAAGTAGTCTCATTACATTCCCTATTACATACAAAATGTTGCCAAACTACATCAAAATGAAAATTCCAATACCGCACGCTTTCGTATAAAAGCAAAAAATACTTTCGTTGGTTTATGTGAATGTGAATTTAAACTGATGTGAATTATGAATAAAAGGGAGAACATAGATTCACTGTTGGTGAGATCGGAAGGGAAATGGGGACATGAACAGAGCTAATTGCGCGTCCCAATCATAGTTTTGAGGACACAGAGGTGACAAACAGAGTAGACGTGTTAGTGTTTTCTTTTATTGTACACATAAATCAAACTGCTGAAATTGGCACTTCTTTGCATACTACAGAAAGGGGCTGTACAAAATTAAAACTGTCCTCCTCATTATTCTGATCTTCAAGACACTAGAAAATTGGACAAAAAATCGATCAAAATAAATGAATTTGCAAAATAATGCAAAATGGATTCATGCGAACTCTAATGTTTTCCTTAATTACTTAATTGCTAATACTAAATTATTTTTGGAATAGAATGCTGCTTATAGAACCTGAGGCGTAGTTTAAATACTTAAAAAAGACCAGCGGAAATGAACTGGAGATGCGCATGCACATCTTAGACATCTTTTAACGGAGGGTGTATTGCTTAAATGCAATAGCGATTAACAAAGTGATGGAGTTCTTAAGAACAAGCACATTCTACCACTCGCATATCGCTCCATGTTGAAATTTTCAATTTCTCACTGTCTTTCTCATCCACATGCAATATCTCGAGCTCATCTAATTTAGAGGGTGCACAACAAGGACGCGGAGCTTTGCGATGATCTTGCTTCCATATCAAACTTTGTAGCATTGCATGATGGTGAGCGGGATTATAGCGAGGTGGACAACGTCCGTGACAATAGCCTGCATCGAATGCTTTCGGTTGCAAAATGAACTCAAAACCTTTGATTTCTTTAAACACGACCTCCATGCTATGGCGACAGCATCGCTGATTAATTTTGTAACAGTTGTGGCGGCGTGTTTCCGCGTGTTTTCCATGGTTGGCGTTTGAATGGTGATGGTACTGGCGTACCGTTGAAGTTTCCGAAAAGGATTCGTGCGCGCGGATACTGCCTTGCGATTGTCCAAAGCGGCCAATTATATTTAGGGCTGGCATTAGATGAGACTCTTGGCCAGTAGCAGCAAAGGATTCAGGCGATGATGTGTACCCGTCATTGAAGAGTCGTGCACCAAGGCGCTTGCAATTGTCACACTGCAGTTCCACTTCAAGTTGCGATTTATGAGAGAGCAATATTGAAACCACGGCTTTGGTAACATTAAATTGCAACCACTGAGTGCTCGTTTGGTCCGACTGATCAATATCAACATTTACAGGCACTTTCCGTCCATCCAGCCATCTCCGTTTACCATGATGTGTTATATGAAATACACGCAAATTCAATATATCTAGCCTTTGGTTATTTGAACGCTCCTTAATACTTGTATCCCTGTTAACGCAGGAATTGTTTTTAGCCTCTTTATGTTTTTTACGATTGTCCTGTTTCTTTTTATTTCTGTTACGTAACGCTAAACTAGGATTATGGATAAGCATCAGTCGGACGTTAGCTTCCTCAATATCACCGGCACTCCATTGCTGCGCCTGCGGAGTGAGGGCAAAGAGTAGATGTATATTTAGTTTGCTATCACCTCGTGGTTTTTTATGCGCACTTCTCGTAATTTGATTTTTTCGTTTATTACTTTTAAAAAAATTCAAATCACTTAAAAAAAAATCACGTTTTTTTCGTGATTGTTTACTTGTATTGTAATTATCATATGCCAAATATCCTTTACTTGAAACACTTAATATTTGTAATGGTGCATCTACCAATTCGCGACTTTCTCGCCTATTCCGGCTATGGACTCGTTGTAAATATACTCTATATTTGGCAGCATATTCTTTCTGACTGATGTTGATCTGAAATTGAATAACAACAAACAGAAGATAATATACAATAAATATTAGATAAGTGCCTTAGTACCTAAGTGACTACACCATCATCCAATATCCATTTAAGCTGTTAAAAGATACAATTTCTTCTATACATTAATTTAGTGCTTAATCAAACAACAAACAGAAAACCTAGAACTAGGAGCCTAAACTTTAACATCGTCAACTCAAGATTACACAAACAGTTCATGGCGAACTTGAGTGTTATGTAAGAGCGTTTTTCGAATAAAGGAACGTTGATTCATTCATTTATTAAAGTCGATACCATGGGAATGATCAGGCGGTTCCCAAGCCAGATTTCTGAACAAATATTGCAACTTATTTGTGCCATAGAGCTTTCTAGGCCAAACTCCATAAACTCTAGCACAGACCCAGCCTTGTTTATGAAAAGTTCACCGTGTAAATTGAAGCGCATTCCGTGCCCGAATAGAATATCTAGATCACAGACCGAATCCACATTCTTGTCTTTGTGCTCAGTTGTAAAAGAATTCCTCCTTTGTTGCTAACTTTTCAACGAACAAAACTAAACCGTAACAGTCGAATTTAATTATCAAGTCATCGGCTATTTTTACGAACTTTTAGATCAATTATCCAATTAATGCTTTCCTACTGCATGTCAGCAATTTGCTGTTTTGAATATGCAGCTTTTTTCTCGAAATTTGCCTTAATTTTTCGTCAGGTGCATGCTGTTCGCTTTTAAACTTCATCTGTGGGCATAAAGGCGTTTCGAATACAATTACTGCAGCCGCAACAGCTCTCCAAACTAAATTTTGATTGCTATAAAGGAATTAAATTGTCCCTATCAGTAAGGAACTAAAATAATACGAGCTATTTTAAAATGCACTTTGGCGGAGTTTAAGTATTTCTATTACCTTATACTTATCTGATATGATCTCTCCTGTGCAACAGAGATTGTTTGCGAAACTTGAGCATATTTCTAGAGTAATTTCGCATTCAATATAAAATGGTCACTTCTAAAAGAAAATGATGTTTTCAACAACCATTCCAATATTTTTTTCACAGCTTCACATAGACAAAGTGTCAGTTGCAACGTAGCCTGGCACTGTTAGTTGCACTTTTTAAAAAATTATAGAACTGCATGTGCGACAGGAAGTGTACTCGTTAATGCTTTTTTGTTTTTGTACAAAAGCCATGACATGGCAGATATGCTACCTTTTTCATTTCATTTGCAGCTTGTCAACTCAAACACGATTATTTCCGACGATGGTTTGTAGTTCCACACCATCTTTCCACATTTCCACGGATAATTTTAAACAAGTAAAATAAGTAAAGTAAGTAAATATAACAAAATAGTTTCAAGAAACTGCTGCTAATATCTTCAAATCCATCGTTTTGTGTAACTTTCCCGTCCTTTACCCAGTGACCCCAAATTATATAATTTAGAACTTTTGTCTCAAGACGGTAATGTATATTTTGTAAATTCTGTAAAACCAAGCTGCGAAAGCTTTATATGTTTTACTCACTGAATGCAATATGTTCTAAATTTGAATTCCATGCCAGCTAATGATGAAAACATCTCCTAGACAAATTTAATGTGAGAATGGCTCTCAATTAATTCGATAAAACTTATTTGCATATTAGATTCTTCTATATTCGCGTGAAATCGTCTCATCAACTTTTCCTTATTATATATGTACGTCGTCTGTCCCAGCAAAATCTTAGGCGAACGCAGCTGCCATAACTGCTTTTAAGTGAAATATATAGTTTCCTATTTAATGTTTGACTTTTTCTTTTTAAAATATCTGCTCTGATCTTATTTTTGTCTTTGTTTTTGTTCTTCATATGGCTTTCTTGAATAAATGCGAACGTTTCTAATGCACACAAATGAACGCTACGTCAATATTTGAATCAATGAAATAATGCACATGTAGTATTTGACTCAGTTCATGTCAGTTCAGTTTAATTATTTATGGTCATTCATTCCTTATCCAGCATTACTTCTTTTATTATTTTGTCTACGATTATCTTTGTTTGCACATCTTTCAATCTTAAACCATGCAAACACACCGCATTTTTGATTAGAGTATGGACAGCAGTGCGCATATTATGATAAACGTATTTCAGTGACATAACAGTAGAACGGCGAAAAGTATGAAATTGAAGAATGAAGGTCTTTTAACCAAGCACAAGTGTGAGTTGATATTGTACACTTCTTACCCATTCAGCTTCTTGTGAAAAGAACTGTGTTAATGTTTAGTTGAATAATTGTCAATCTCCTTCATCCCTTATTTCATCATACATACACAAAGAAATATTCTGGTAGTACTAAAGCCATACATATAAATACATATATGTATAGCAGTGAAATTTGTAAAATATTCAGAAGAAAAGTGTCACACAGTAATAGATCTTCCTTTTTTATTACCATGTTGAAAACAATAGGAAGTCTGAACACTTCCGCATATGGATAATTTGGACCTTGAAATAACTTTACGAACTATATTCCCAAAAACCACAACATTGCCCAATAAAATGTCAACACAGACACTAAATTTTACTGTTTTGATTACTGTTTTTTTTTTTTTTTTTTTTGTGTGTCATAAACATGTACATAACCAATTCCATTTATGTATATCATAAATTAAAAAGTCACATTTTTATCTTATGTAAGCCTAAATAAATAACAAATTCGCTGGTTGTAGGCTTTGTTTAGGATTTAGAAAAAAGTTGATAAATCTTTTCTTCCTCTTCAGAGCAATACGATCTTCTTCATTCACAATCAAAGTTTTAATCATTATTAGTTAATTTTATTGTGCACATATCTTGATAATCAAAAGAATTTAAATCTAAACTATTTCTGCACTTTCTCTCTTGTTACGTTAGTAGTACATGCGTTGAAAATATTTATATGCGACAATAACATCTTATAAAGCATATACGCATTGATGTGGACAGTAGAATCAAAATTGCTTATGTCTATCAGTTTACTCTTCCTCCGTCCGTACGTCTACCACACTGCAACAGCAAATTGTTACATTTTCTCCAAAAAAAAAAAAGCATTAATTCCGCAGTCAGGTAGGGCCGACCGTCAGATACCTTACGCCATTTACTCTAATACGGTTACTCACTTATTTTCTCAAAAATACTCATAATATATTTTTATATAAATGCATAATTTTCAAAAAAGCACTCATATTGGAGAATACTCAAAACTTCAACTGACGTAAGGCAAATTCAGCAAACTTAGACTTGTCGAAGGTCGACCCATTTTTCAGTTGCTTCTGTCATAACAAACTGCAGGTTCAACTTTGTCGCTATAGAAATACTTTCATGACACCCTCTACATATGGCGCGGTCTAAAAGCTAGACATATGTGACGCAAATGATCACTGAGGGCAAATTTTCATCATGAAATATTAAAAATTAGACCTTTTTGGTACACAAGTTTTTCTTTCTTTAGAATCGTTATGAGGGTTACGATCCCTCTTCCCAAACCTCGCAATAGACTTAAGCGGTCCAAATTCAATAAAGTTAATCTTAATGTCAATTTGTTAGACATTTTTGCCATAAAAATATTCAGCTCCCTTAGGACGGTTATATGATAAGGGGTTCGAGAAAGTTTTCTATCCGATCCAAAGTTTTCACATGAATTTAGGATGCCGAAAGACTATTACTAAGCGATATTTGTGGCGAAAATTGTACTATTGCGACTTATTATCACATAAGGCGTTCTATGTAAAGTGATAGAAAAAGTGGTCCGATCCGAACGATTTTCAATTGTGTTTGTGCTTTGGCCGAAACACGCTAACATATCAAATTTCGCCAAAATATCTTCAAAATTACGATTTATACTCCGAATACAGGAAAAGAACAACAACAGACAAACAAATTTCAAGTGATTCTGAATAAATGGGTATGATAAAAAGTGCGTATATCTCATCCGTCTAGATACTACATATGACCGCACAAACTTGAAAGACGGGATGTTACCGGAATTGGTAGATTACATTTAAACATTTTCTTGTTTTTCTAAACATAGTATATGAAGTATTGTTAATAAAGTCATTGTTCTTTTTACAGGACGGCTAAAAAAGCAAAACAAAACTTTACGAAAAATTGTCTATACAAAACTAACGCAAAAATTTGTTTTAGTTTGAAATTATAACACAAGTAAGTACTTATCATGCTGTTACCGTTTTGTTTGTGTTTGCCAGGTGACCAATTTCCACGCAAAATATATGATTTTTGTTTTAATTTATTGAAGAAAAGAGCTATTGCCAGCTATTACAGACTCCTTCGCTTCAAAGGCTATTTTATTTGTTTTTTCAAAATAATCAATTTCTTCTTTTAATTTTTCTTACGAAAAATGCTGGATTTTATGTGTAAACGGCCTATAACTCATGTTCTTTTGTTAGTATATCAAGTAAATTGAATAATTGTTTAAATCTGCCAACTACACAGAACCATTTAAATACCTTTTTCATATTGGGCAATTTTTGCAAGCCCAGTCCGTCCATAACTAACTTAAGCATCTTCAAGTGATCTTTTTGTGCCCTCATATTAACGAGCGATTTGTTAGCTGCGTTATTATTGCTCGCCAAGTCATTATTATTAATACTGACTTTCTGCTCATCTTTATTGTTCAATTTTTTTAAGCAATTATAAAAACGGTACTTATCATAACCACCACCACCATTGCCATCAGTACGATTTGGTTTAGCATCTCTGCTATTTCTAAAACTGGTTTGATTACTTCGATTATAATTAGAAATTAACTTATCATAATTGTAAGCGGCTATCAAGCTATTTGTGTAGGTAGAATTATTATTGAAATAAGCCTGGTGTTCGGCAGCTAAATATTCATTAGATTTATTATGACATCGTTGAAGATCATAGAAATGGTTAACACGATGGCCCTTTCGATGATGATGATACAGCTGCTTGTTGATATTGGTTAAATTTGCTGCAAGAAAGTCACAATTACAAATTTTATTTTGCTGCTTACAGTGGCGCAGCTTATGGCTATTAACAAGATCAGTAGGTGCCAAAGAGTGGGAAACGCATTTATGACGAAGACTAGGTGCGCAGCAGAGAAATGTTGTTGATATAGTATTTTCACTTATAGTGACATTTTCAGTTAAGTTTAAGGCTGCTGCAGCTGAGTTAGACGTAAGATGAAGCGTGACCGTCAAGAATACCGCCAACAGAACTCGAAAGTTAATCTGTCGCAACTTATCTCCTCTCGTTAGAAAACATTGTCTATGTACTAGGATTAACTTAAAGATTCTTGCAGTTATTTGTATGCCTTTAATTGACTCTTTGACAGACTTCAAGTCTGTAGTACATTTTCGTAGCCAATAATAACAACTTTTTGACTGATCATCAATTATAACACTTAATTGCATTTTGAGGTGATTCTTGATTATTTAAACATTTTCGATTTTTTCTATTCATCATTCACCTGATGTGGAATAGCATACATACATACATATTGCTTACTAGCTGCTATTCAAATTCTGAAAGAGCATTATTTTCTTTTTTAGTTTCTGGTAAGAACATTATTATAATTGATTACAAACACTTTCGGATCTTCTTTCTGTTCTCTTTACTAAAAATCCTTTAAATCCATTAAACAGCGAATTTAAATTACATTGATACGTTTTAATGAGATGTCATTTATTTATATTTTTATTATTTTTATTCACTTCATCTTTCCACTATTTAGCAGCATTAAAGCGATCTATCAAGAAAAAAAATGTGTATAAAAGCGACACCAAAATCTTACATTTTTATTTTAAAAATTACAAAAATTAAAAAATATGCCACTATCCACCTATTTTAATGTGTGCGCAAAATGCAACAACAAAATTCACAATATTTTATCTCACTTTTTATACTTTTTTTACGCTCAGAAATTGAATTTATTATTCTCAGCATATACAAAACGTTTTTCTCTCACTTTCAGAAATCAAAGAAATCCTCTCAGAGAAAAAAAAATTTTACAATAACAATGCCGCTAAAGATTAGAATACTTATAAGAGGGAAAGCAGGTTCGTTTGTTGACAGCGTTGCCATCCTTACAAATTAGGCTATACTCACTAAGGCAATTGCATTTTCAATGCTGTCTTCATACGTTTCATGTTTTATAATTATATATAAAGGTTTTTATACTATAATTTATAAATAAAAACTTGGAAAATTTTAGGCAAAGTCAAAAAAATATCATAGTTATTTTTAATTTGAAAGCTGCTTTATCCATATTTGTAGAATAGCGACACTTGGTGTTTTTTCTTTTACTTTTTATTCAAACGTATTAAAGTTATTTATTTGCTAAAAGTCAAAATAGAGATTACTATTCGCTACCATTTACGCTTTTTATTTTATAAAGCGTAATTATCAATAGAAAAAATTTTTTTTAAAACATAAATTATATATATAATTCATTCAAAGCTTCAGCCCATGAAAAACAGTCATAAGAAAATACGTCGAGCGAAGAAATTCAAATGAAAAATTCGAAAAAGTACAATGAATGGCAAAAAAATCCGATTATGTAAATCTACGTACAAGTTAAAATATATGGTTTTTTTTTAAAGTCAACACTATAATAAATTTTCTCAGCACAAAACACTTTCACTCAACACAGACTCAGTTTTTTTCTCTAAGTTTATTTTCCAATGTGTTAGTGAATAAAAATGTAAGTTTTCACACTTAGAAAATGGTCTCTCTTTGCATTGTTAACACTTCACTCTTTGCTTACAAATAAATTAAAGACTTTTTCCATTATTTACTAAATTGTAAATGTCAATACATGTTCCTTATTCTATAATCTTTTTCTTTATGCGCAAATTAGCCACACTATGTCGAATTTTTCTCATTACGGTAATTGTGGGAAATGCTAAGAAAGAGAGATTTCTTTCAGAGCTGTGGATCGATGAAAATTAAAAGAAGGTTTAACTTTCTGCTGCTTGATAACATCAGTAGAATAATTTCATTACAGGGTCAACATTCTAATTATAAGCGTGTTCACAATTCCACGTTCCCCAACAAAAGCTCGCCTAACGAAGTTATTCCTTTGAATTTTAAATCCCTCTTAATCATACGAGCCGAAAATTCACAGTTTAATTAAATCGCCGAAATACCGATTGAACCCTTATCTCCATCATTAAGTGCACATTCTGTAGCATGAGCATGTTGTTCTTCTTCCTTCTTGGAGCAGGTTGCTTGTTCTTTTTCCTTTTTTGTGCAGGTTGCTTGTTCTTCCTCCTTTTTGGTGCAGGTTTTTTTCTTCTGAATGTCTCGCCCTAAGCTAACACCAAAAAACTAACGCTAAAAAAACTTACTTTCACCAAAAAACCTTCATTCGAAAGAGACAGTTAAATGAATTATAAATTGAATTATAATTGAAACACGCATACATAAAATTAAAAATGTGAATTCAAGAGCTTTTTTTATTTATTATTTATGGTTGCACTCACAATATATAATACTATATAATATATAGTATATAATATATAATAATATATAATAACAGTAGTAGTTACAATTCATCGAACAATAGATTTTGTTATTAATTAAGGATGGCTCCTTTCGTTGCTGCATATTTCAAAAATTGAAATCGAATGTGATTGTGAAGTTATTGTTTTGTGTCTTTATCGTACGTCTTGCACTATATTTTGTACTGCTAATGGGCCCGAAATAATGCTCGTATGAATATAAGTGAGACTAATTGACATTTTTTGCTAATGTAAATCTAAAGTAACTTGTAGCTTCTCTACAGTAAATGTTGCTTTTGTTGGGCTGCATTACATAGTTTAACATCTCTGCTTTTACTGTTATCTTATGGTGCAAGCCATTTAAAACAAGTGACAACGAGCCTAACAAATTTGATTTTCGTCGCAGTATTGTTCTAGATTGCTCACTTGTCTGCAACTCCCTTTAATATAGGTTTACAAAGTCGCCTGAAAATGTACTAGATTTTGTAAAAAATCATGGATTCACCGGAAAATGCTGCACATGTTATGAATAAATTCATGTATTCTCCAGCTAAAGTTTTGAGTCCATTAAGCCGCTTACTTAAAGAAGGTGAAATAGTAAAAAGTCTACGTCAACAAAGAGAAGCGGTCCACATTTGCGGCCGCTGAGCGTTGGTGGTAGTTTATAGATCAAATGGTTTCATACATTCCGGGCGTCACCGAAACGTTTCGAAACGTGTCTCTCTAAAGAAGCTTTTAACCAAGTTTTGAAATCTCTGTGGTATCTTTCGTGCTCACTATTATGCTCACCTTAAAGAACGACTTCGTTCATCAGGGCTGCCGACTTCTCATCTTAGTCAATCCTGAAGTTTTTTTCTCCTTGTTTTCTTGAACAAAAATCTTTCAAGCCTCAACAAAATCGAACAAAAATGTCTTAAACTTTAACAAAACTAAACAAAAATTTCTCAAATCTTAACAATTGCTACAGTTCTCGAGTATTCCAACTTTAATGCACACGTTAGTAGATTTACTAGAATAAGTTTTCGCTGAAGCATATTCCCAATCTTGTACGTTAAACTCAATAAAAATTTTCACTAGTAGTAGGTGAACGCTTATTTATTTTATAAAATCAATATAAAGCTGCTAAAGCCTGGATGATTCACACACACAATTTGCCTAACATGGTTAAATTAGGTATTAGATTTTAGGATCATCTGGGGTTAGTTTAACTATTTTAACGGATTCTTCCCATAGATTTTTGGCTTTCTCTTCATCCATAGCCGTTGCACTCAATGTAGCTTCTTTGCAGTCCATAAAGTATTTTCCAGTGACGTTAACCACTTCGTCAGAAGTAGCCAAATATATAATAGTTTGTGCGCCAGCTTTTGGTTTCTTAAAGAATCCTTTCGTAATAGCCATCATTGGCAAATTAAGCGGAAAGGGCACGTTGCGCCATATTCCGGAGTCAATCATACCTGGATGTAGGAAATTAACAGTAATGCCGGTATTTTCCAATCGTTTAGCCAATTCGCGAGCGAAGTATATGTTAGCAAATTTAGAAACATAGTATAAATAAGCGGCAGGAAAAGTTCCAATGGGATTTAATTTGTCTAGATTAACTGACGCCAGACGATACAGTTCCGAGGCTACTATTACTATTCGTGCAGGTGCACTTTTCCTAATTAAGCTTATAAGTAAATGCGTTAACAAAAAAGGGCCATAATGATTTGTCGCCATTGTTAACTCAATACCATCTTCGCTAGTTTGGCCGCGAAAGGCTAAAGCCATTCCTGCGTTGTGAATGAGCACATCGATTTTCTGCTCGTTTCTTAAGATCTCAGCTGCGAATTCTCGAATCGACTTTTGGGAGCCCAAATCGAGCTTCCTTACGACCACATTGTCGTTACCACTCTCTTTGATAATTTCATCTACAATTCAATGTTTGGAAGGTAAATATTTCTGTATACATATACATATCTAACAGAAATACCTCTTACTGCATTGGCCGTTTCCAGATTTCTGCAAGCCATAATAATTTTAGCTCCACGTTTAGCTAAATCTCGAGCAGTTTCCTTACCAATGCCGCTATTAGCTCCAGTAATGATAACAGTTTTGCCTTCCATCTTAATCTAATAACGATAGACACATGGATGCGAGTAAAACATATGCAAAAATTCAAACAAAGCTACTCCACGCTCTCCACCTTATCAACTAAATACTAGTATTGTAGTTCATAATTCTTTCTAGAGCAAATGCTCGCCGTCCGATAGTCGATACGAAATGGAAAGCTGAGTAAGTATTCAATGGCATATTAATATATATTTTTTTAACGAAAAGAAAGAGGATTAGACCGCATTCTGATATATTTCTGAAGCAATACAGATGCTCAGTTTTCGTTGCTTTTTTGTGGCTTAGTCTACAATATTGCTAGTTAAATAAACTAAACAAGCCTTTATCATCCTTTCACTTAATAAGCCTACAATTGATTGGAATGTTTAAGTAATCTATGGAGACCTAGTTTAAAAATTGTAATGTTTAACAGAAAAGTTACCTCGTTAAAACACCTTCCAGATGTTATACGCAGATAAAATCGAAAACTAAATAATGTCGCAACGATAGCTGATATTACGGCTATTATGGTGACATCATTCAAATAATGATCGCCCGGAAATAAACCTAGGGAAACCATCTAAAAAGGATGCACGTAAGCATAAATTTTTTTGAATGAAATAAATTAACGCTTATAAAAGAGACATGCTCTTTATACTCACCACCTACACTAAATAGTAATAAAAAATTATGTATTTTGTTAACCAGTTAACTGTCTCGACCTCGTCAGCTATAAATTTGCATGCTCGTCAAACACAGAGTATGTATAACATGAAATTACGTTGTAACGAAACGATTTGACAAAATGACAAAAATATTTTCTAAAATACATTTTTATGGCAAATACACATTCACAATGATAAAATTTTATAAGGAAAACCGATAAGGACGGATAGGCGGATCATGACGTACGCATTTGTCGCACACAGCTAACTGGTTACTGTGGCCTAGGGATCAATGACCTCTGACAAGTATTGAGATCACAAATTATATCTGTTGTAATTCAATAGTTTTTCTCTGATTACAATTTGGCAAAACAAGGACAAATGCAGCCTATCTTCAATCAACAGTATATTGAGCAAATTCTGTAATTCGTTCGCAACTTCTGTGGCTTTAGAACACTGACCATAACAACAATAAGAATATATCGATTATGAAAATGAGTCAATATAAAGACAATTAAATGATTTAATTTAATTAAATTTAATTTATTCTAATTATCAGTACAATCGCCCAGAGAAAATACGTTAACTTTTTCAATGCGCGCCTCGTGTTTTGAAATATATATCATACTAACGATATTCATATAAACATTTTTTGAAAGAAAAAATAAGATAGCAAATGCGAAAAGATATGGACAAGTTTCAATTCAGCCTCTTCCTCATAACTATTACGAAAGCGCTTACTATCGTTATTAAATAAGAAAGCTTTACGGTAAAAGCTGGTTGGCAAAATGTTCGCGTAAGTAGAAATTTTGAAGTACTGCGTCTGAGAGTAATTCAAAAAACCCGTCCTAATTGATTGCATATGCAACCGTATTTATGTAAGGACGTACATGCATTCATTTGAATACGTTTGTGCATGTATGTATCTTATATAGGCAAAAATTTTGCAAAAAAAAATCTGACAAGCTAACTTGCCCTGCAAATAACACGCAAACAAAATACATTGTCTGTAAGTAATGTATAACTGTATTGCAAGCGAGAAAATTTCCACTTCGCGAAAAACTCCGAACCGTTGCAGATACCAGCAAAGATTTCGTAAAAGCCGAAACTCTCGCTGACTAATATATTTCTAATGTATATTATTTATTATGTATACTAACTTGTTGCTTTAACAGAGATTGGATAGATTTTCATATAGTTAACAGAGATTTTATAGGCTTTTATATATATCTTGTTGCTTCACTGCACCCTACTAACCGCCGATAAATTTATGCACTTGATTATTTTTCTTTTTTTTTTTCCTTTTTCTATATAAGAAATTGCTATTAGCATTTGCTATTGGCCGCATCTGTGTTGCCGTGAGTTGCAAAAGTGCGATAGTTTATTTTTATGGTAACGGTAGCATAATTAAGACTATTATTTCTTTTATTTTATAATGTTACCTTAAAGCAAAAGAAAACTTGTTAAATAATTTACACCAGCGTTTGTAGAAGCGAGAAGTTTTAAATTTCGCAAAAAGTTTCTCTTTAATTATGTATTTTTGTAACTTAGCCTACAACCTTTACAACCTTCGCCTTGAACGTTTGCTTTATAACTGGTCAATGTCCAGAGCTCAAATAGTGAAACGAAGTTAAAGTTAAGTTTGTAACACTCGCAACCCACCTAATCTCAATAGAGTTATATTTAAAAAATTTGTTGTTAGCTCATTCTGTGTTATGTGTGATGAAACCATTGGAATTGGTTTAACCGGTTTGTTAGTCTGCGCATACAATGCAAGTAACATTAAAAAAGATTGATAACATTTGCATTTCAAATAAATACAAATTCGTTTTAACGTTCGTTTAAGAAAACTAGTCGACAAACCAGAAGACATTTAATAAATTATATTTAACACAAATTTTTAACACAATACACTTCCTTCAATTCTAACCAAAGGAACTTGGTTTCTATTTCACAAGATCTGCAAGATTTTTGGGAACACTAAGGCATTCTTTAATCAGAAGAATTTCTACTTAACAAGGAAACCAGATGCAAGATTGTTTTCGCAATGATATATATCGGGAAACTCAAATAAATCATACAAAAATAATGGAACTTTTATTTTTATTGAAAATTTCCTCAAATTTTTCTAATTACATAATCTATCTCTATACCCTTGCAATTTACAAGGTACAAGTTCTATATTTTCAAATCTTACCTCTTTATTAATATAATCTTACAAGCATAGCATGCGATCAATCAAGTTTGTTTCGTGAGTCTTTTGTGTTGCAGATTTGAATGGTACAATTCAGTGCCCAAACAAAAAAAAAAAAAAAAAATGGACAAGATAAGATCATAGCAAAGGAAAACACAGCATTGAAGAGGTCTCTCAAAATTAGCAAAAACCACTCGATAGGTCCCTCACAATGAACAAAAACCAATCGACAGGTCTTTGAGCGCGAGCAAAATCAACCAGTGCGTTTGTGAAAATGACCAAAATCGATCCACTCTAGTCTGAAAATGAGCAAAATACATATACTTTATAAAAAAAGTGGACAAAAACTCTGAAGCATTCTCCCTCAAAATTTCTATTTTGTTTTTACTCAAACCACCTGCAGCATAAATCCCTGTTTTAATCAAATTTCTTTATTTTTTCCAAAAACCAAATAAAAGTAAACTTTGAAAATTTAACAAATATCAATTTATTTATTTATTTATTTTACTTGGACATTTTTCAATTTTTTCTGTTATTATTCTTCTTAATTCTCTAATTAATTCAAATTGTCTCATTTTTCCTTTTTATTTAACATCTTCGCCTTCGATAAATGGGAAGAAACTGGGGAGTTTTAACTTTTTGAAGAAATTCTATATGATTGAAAGTGTTGTTCAAGTTAATTAAAAAAGCAAATCCATATTTCGTTAACCTTTACCGTGTTCTTCTTTCCGAGCTTTTTCTGCTCTTTCAATATTTTCGTTGAATAGTTCAACCTACGAACTCATTCCTTTTCGATTGGATTTTACATCATTTTCAAAGAAGTCGTCTTTTGAAAGCCGAAACACATATTTCGCCCACATTAAAGTTAAGTTTCTAAAAGTTCAAGATTACGTCCGGCCGTTCTTCGTCACCGCACATTTTCTACCAGTTTTCATTTATTGCAATCAATCGCTGAAAAATTATTAAAACTATTTAACATAAACATATGACAAATATTAGGTTGTTCAGAAAGTTTTTTCCCAACGGTGAAATTGATTGCGTATTGTTCACGCTGGAGCAACATTTTTATTATATATTTTAGCCGTGAAAACCTAGCAAGGCTTGTTTTTGATATACTTTGCTTGATTCTAGCTTAATAGGTACTTTTTTCCTTTACCAGCTATGGAGAGTGGAAAACAGCGGAATCGGAAATACTTTAAAAAGTAGAAATGGTAGTCAAGCAAGAAAAAAATTATTGAATGTGCATGAAGAATACGTATCGCAGAAGATAAGAGCCACAACTGATTAACAAAATTTTGTTCGCACAATTTTTCATACTGAAGGTGTACCACGTTCTAGCTGAAAACATTATTATTACAACTATTTGCATTCTAGCTGATGAAGACAGAATACATAATTATTTCAGATCGCTGCGAGGTTACATTTGTCGAATTCGACCGTTCGTAATAATATATTTATCCACTATAACAACACTATTTTCCATTTTGACCAAAAAAGAGACATGATTTTCCGAACAACCCACCTAAAGTAGAGTAGCAAAGTTTTATGTTCCACAACCGCCCTGCAAAGACGTGAATCAGTCTTTATCGCAGACACACATGTGGAGTGAATGGTCGCTTTTTGTGTGGAATCTGGGAAAAATTTCTCTCCGCTTGAAAGCACACAGTAAAGGCATTTCAAGGTAGTTTTTGGTTGATGATGCTTAATTGGTATGTTTTTTTAATAATTATTGCTACATTGAAAAATGGGCTGAGCGTGGTTCGGCCAACGAAATGACGGTAAATGTAGCTGGTTTCTAGCTTGCAAAGATATTCAAAAGAGAACTTTTTTTTTATATTTCAAGCAATTAGGTGAATTTAGTCAACACTAACTAAATTTTGAATTCCGAATCCAAATCGTCCTCAATAATAATTTTAACTTGACAAGTTAATGTTATATTTTAACTAATTTTTTAGAGAAAACGAGGAAGAGGGTTGAACAGGCCACTACTTGCTTTCACTCATCTAAATTATTTAAATTATTTATAATTTATTAAATAAAAGTTTTTACTGGTACTCTTTCTTTCAATTACAATAAGTGCAAAGCTGTGATTAGCTCCACAAATGAATGAATTACCTTTAATCCAATGATTAAAGCATTGAAAAAAATATCGAAAATATAAAATGTATAAATAAATTATATTCCGCAAGAAATACATATGTGTACAAAGATTTTCGAAACGTTTTCTAGAGTAATTCGATTATCAGCAATACTTACCTTGTTTAGGCGATGTGCACATTGTCACTTACCTTAAAAACAGGTTTTCCAAAATTTTTTTGAACTTGCACGAAAGAAAGCTTATAAATATTATTAGTTAAATTCATGAACTGCACAAAGTTGTGATAAATAAATCAATTCAATCTTCGAATATTATTTATCTGTTAATCGTTTAATTACATATTTCGTTTACCTTATTATATTATTGTTTTTTAAATAAATTTCAAGTATTAGGTTAAGATAAAAATACTCAATCACAATCTTGATAAATCTTGATTTAGAAACCAAACACGGCTCATAAAATGCGTATTCACATGTTGGAAGAATAAAAAACAATTCATGTTTTTTTTTTTTTCAGACTCATTCAGACAGCAATTCGGGCTTCAATTCAAAAGTGTGGATGCGTTTACATATATAGTCGCAGCTTCATCATTTTTTTTACTTTCATTGTAATTAGGTTAAACCTTTTGCTGTATATATTGCGTAATTTAATTGTATCTTCAAGGTATTCACAAAGTTTTGATTAATTTAGTTGTTGGTGTGAAACTGCCACAAACTCATCGGCTGACATCCTTCAATGTAAAATGAAAGTAAATATAAATCTGGAAAATTTTGAATGCATTGCTCCCTTAAAAACTCTCCAGACATTCTTGCAGGTGTTAGTGTACTGCGGACATATTATTTAGTTAAAATAATCTTAATTCTTAAGTCACATATCAATGGAAATGTTATATAATCAAAGCGCATCCATATTTGCACCGTAAGGAAAAAAATGTTTGCCTTTATCGATGTTATGCTGCTAACAAAAACTGAATGCATTTAATTAAAATAAAAGACAATGAGAAAATTAATGAAAATAAAGTTTTTTCTTCTTTTTTCTTTTCATACCCAACGAATTATTCCAATGGGCTCCTCAAATATTATTATCCGGATTGCCCTTCCTTCCGACCAAAAACAAAAATTGGGAAATTATGTATTTTTTTGAAGTGGCACAATATGTGACTGCTTAAAATGAGAGTGAGGTTGGATTTTGTTTAAATACTACCATCGTTACTTGCTTTGAAAACATGTTTTTCAAAATTTTTTTGAACTCGCATAAAAGAAAGCTTATTAAATATTATTTGATTTCATATAACATTGTAACTTCTCAGCTTTTTCCTTTGTTTCTTCTGTGCTAAAACACTCTTCACGGCCATACTGAAAACAAAAATTTAAAGCAAACTTTCATTTAGAGTGCAATTCAAAGTTTCCTAGTTTACAAAAATTATGCTCTAAGGGTTCCAACGCAGTCATACGATCTTTAGGATCATGTTGAAGACAACGATCGAGAGAGCTTTTCGGTGGCTTCGAGTTTTCCTCCCAAGCCTACTTTAAACATGATTTGAAAATTGGAATCAAATTGTGCCTTTGATTTTAGAACATTTTCGATACATTTCCGGTATAAAGCAGCTGGGTGTCCAGCGTTTGTGCCACTGTCCGAACGCAAAGGTTACACACTGAATATATTAATGTCGTACGTTGAACCCTTATTGAAGCCTTTATTATTATAACTATCTGTATTTTAAGTAGCTTCCGTTTATGAAGAACTGCACAAATTGTCTAAAAATTAGCTGATGGATGGATGTAAAGTGTGCATAAGCTGAGCTATTTACAAAAACTTACTCAGCACTGCTGGTAGTTTCATCCGCTGTATGAGATACGTCATCAATCAGTAATTGTACCTTTGGACCATTCAGAAATATTCTATGACCAAATAAAATGCTTTATTTCCTTACTTGTAGCAACGTCAAATGAAATAGTTTAATAGAGACTTCATATGCATTTCAATCTGCCAAGGAAGAGAGACGGGCCGCCTAATAATTGACACGATAATAACGATCACAAATTTTACCCGAATCATAAACGAACTGGTGAAAGCTTACCCTTTCATAAATATAACCTCATGCAGAGTAAGCCAGGCCCTTCTAGAATGCTTTTTCATCAAAATGGCGCTGAACGAAAAGAAAATAAAACAGGTCGTCACAAAAAATTGTAAAGCTCTTCGACAGATTAAGGAAAAGACAAATATCAGCATATGCGAACGAATTCGCAACAAAAACGATTATGACCTGATAAAGAAAATGGATTACGAAATTGAAGAAAAGCCAGAAGAAGAGTTAAGGCCACTCGAGCTCGAAGGACAGATATTCGAAATATATTATTTTTATAGGTAACGTTTTTAAATTTTTTTCTTCTATTTCAGAATAAAAAAAGGTCCACAAAAACAAATTATCAAAGGAGGTTCAGGCAGAAAAACAACAAAATGAAGGTAAATACAATATTATATAAATGTATCTATAAATTATCAAATTTTTGTCTTCTATTTCAGAATAAAAAACGATCCGCCCGCTCATTGCCTCATATAGATGAAGATTCGCTATACGCCAAACGTAAGATTGCATTTACCTTTTCTTATTGTTATGTATAAAGCATTCATTTGCTTTTATTTTATTTCAGATTAAAATAACAAGCACGCGCCTGCACCATGGCACTATGGCTCCAGCGGAATACGACACTTCCATAGATCAACGGTAAATTCGTGGTCATCTTTGTTTATAAAATTTATCAATCGCAATATTTTTTTTTGCAGATATCAACAAACCGGCGACACACCAGCGTCACCAATTTATTTAAATTATAAATAATTATGTTTTTATGTATTATGTACGTATATTATGTATTAACGGGACTTGGATTTATTTGTTATTATTATAGATATTATAGAGATATCCATAAATATATTATAGTTTTAAGATACGTTTATAATGGTGTAGGCCTACAGGGGAGTCACCCATTTAAAATAATTGGCAACGCGCCGATCACGGTACCTGAAGAGTGGCATGGAGAACCGTGCCAGGAATCCGATATAATGTAGTGTAATACTTATAAGTAGAAGCTACCGGTTATGCTGATACCAGTTGGGATTTCGTAAAACTTCTTTCTCTTCAACAATTTAACTTATTAAATACTTTACATTATTTATTGACACAAGGAAAGTTGACTTACAAAATTGGACAACTACATTATATGATGACGCCAGGCGGTAAATATCTTTTTTATTCTCAAAATGTTTTTATCGTTTTCCAGGCAAAATTATTAGGGCCTTATCTCCAAATTTGCGTCCCGTTCTGCTGGTGTGAGAAATTTGTGTCCGATTCTGTTAAAATTTCAATAAATTTGCGTCCTGTTCTTTTAGTGTGAGAAGTGTGCGTCCAATTCTGAGAGTGTGAAAAGAAATTGCATGAAGAACTTTTCCAGAAAGCCGAGAAAATATCTTAATCGCAAATAAAATTAATTGAAACATTTATTAACACTCAACATATTTAGATGGTTTTTCATTTTTTTTTCGTACACTTTAAATTGGCATTGCATCGGCTCAAAAATTCAATAAATAGCATTTTTGTTCACTGCGGTCATTCAATTGAATTTCGCTTACGCACCCCTCGTGACATCTAATGACGTAATAGCTACACAGTTACTTTTACTTATTTTTATACACTGTTCAAAAATTATACCTTAATTCAATTCATTGTAAAGGATCACGTACGTATTATTAGTTGAAATAGTTATCAGGAATGAAAGAAAAATAGCTGTGCTTTGTCTGTAAACACTTTAGCTAATTAGTTTATTAGAAGCTTTTCTAAAACATATGAACGTGCAACAGCATAAAACTTTTTAATAGAAACAAACAAGAAAAATAAAAATTGTAAAATATTTGCTTCAAATGTAAGCATCGTACGTCTGATAATATATTTATATTTATTATATTTATTCTTCATCTTCACTATCCAAAATCGCTTTGAAGCTGAAAGGTTGGAAAGGATAACCCAGACCTTCATAAAACTTGCTCATGAATTCAACCCTAAGAGAAAACAAAGCAAAACTAACATAAAACAAAAACAATGCAGAATTCTTTAAGTACTTACCAGTGAAGACGTAAGGTATGCAAAAATGCCGACAGACCTTCCATCATGACCAAAATTGCCAAAGTAAATAGACACCAAGCGCCGAAAATTATGTACAAGCCAATAGCGCCTGAGTAACTATGCGTCTTTAAACCTAGCGACAAAACCATGTTCCACAAGACTTCTGACAATTCTGAAGTGTTAATATCAATCTTAATAAATAATAACTTTGCATATACAAAAATTTCTGCACTTACGGGCATGAGCCAAGGACAACGCCCACAAACGCAAATAAGACGCTGTATGAGAAATAGTACTTAGCACATATTCAATTGTGTGTATAGCCTGATGAATATAAATTTCACTCATGGGCTCCTCGTCGTGGCTCCCATGGCCTCCAGTTTCCCGAGTATCGGCCCCTGTAGGAATGGGTGTCTCGCCTTCACCCAGTTCCATATTATTAGTTAATCCGCCATTGTTGTTCGACTGAAAATTATATCAAGTATAATTTTAATATTAATAAAACCGAATCAATACGCCTTCAGCGTATTAAACAGTTGAATGCTGCTTTAGTGTTTTTAATTCCTAAAAAGTTTTTGTAAGATATCTCCTTATTTCTGCCCTAATTTAAACCGAGATTGTTGGCAAGCCAAAAATTTGAAAATAGAGAAATGCCACTCACTTCTATTTCGGTTCGACGCAATTACCACGGATTACTTTCTATACATTCCACAAGTGGTTCTCTCTGAAACAATGTTACTTATATTAATCTTAGAGCCGATAGCCTGTGTTGCTAGTGCTCAATGTCTTTTTTTTAGTCTAAGAATTCATTTCATTAGTCTAAAATTAAAATAATAATAATAATAATAATATATTAATCTTTCTCTTATAAATAATGCAACATTTTCAAAAAAAAAGAAACGACTGTTGATAAATTGAGCTTAATTAGAAAATATCTTGGTTTTCTTTTTTTAATAATTTAGCGTGCATAATAAATAAACACTTTTTAGCTAAAAAAAAAAAATATATATGTAAATGGTTTGCCAAACTTTGATTTTCTTTCTTTTCACATGTTAATCGAAATGGATTCCACAAATTGAGAATGAGAAGTTTTTTTTAATTTATTTAAAAATTAAATCGAATCAATTGTGATTTGTTTAGGTTTTAAAGTTTTTCTTTTTTTTTTACGTTGAACGTACGAAAAGACTAGACAAGACAGACCGACAGACAAGCTTGGACGGATTCAGTATGCTTTCGGTGACTATCTCAAGTCCAATAAGAACAACTGCGATTACATTGCAGCTATTAAGTTTCCTACCGAAGAAAAAAGTATTTTATAAAAATCTTTTCCAAGATTATACTTACGTGCTCATTATTTTTACGCGTAAACTTAATGTACAACGGCTTGCCTAATAACATCCAAGGTATGCAAATAAGTGCAATGAAAACAAAAACACTCTCGAGAGAACTCTGTGCGTCGAACATATACTCCTTACAACCGTCTTGTGGTTCAGTATTTTTAAATAACATCATGTTAATGAACATAATAAGGACAGACGGCGCACAGCCTGGTGTGTGTGGCTGAAAGTCAGTTTTAGCAGTGTACTTAACCCATTTAAAGAACATCATAAACACCATATAGCCAAATAATAAAAGTAGGAAAAGAATCTGTGGCAGGAATTCTAAGAAGATGCTGGAATACCGTTTGAAATGTACGAAATTGATGACTGACATGCAAACACCGAACACCATGTGAATAACACCGGTAATTATTGACAGTTTCATTTTATATGTATTAAGGAAAATGATTTTATTATCTGCCATCTGCCATATCGGATCCATACCAATTGGGTATATGCCTTCAACATGATACTGTGGATTTAACTGAAGTTCTGGATTTTCGAGAACAGTGGATGTATTGAATTTAATGCTCCAGGTAGAACCGAATATATTCATAGATTTGGAAAAGACATCATTATAGACGAAACCAGTGTAGCAGGAGAATAGGCCCATAAGTAGTATAATGTAACGTCCTCCAAAGAAAATGCTCCATATCTCGCCGCCCCTTAGGCGGCTTAACGATTTTTCATACATACACATCCAAGCACCGAAAAGTGTCAATATAAACCCGTGACCTAGATCGCCAAACATAACAGCAAACAGAAAGGGGAAGGTTATGCAAGTGTATAAAGCCGGATTCACTTCCCGATACGAAGCTATACCATAAGCGTCAATTAAATTTTGAAAACCACGGGTAAATTTATTAGTTCGATTAAAAGTAGGTGGTTGTTCGTTAGTTTCAATAACGTTTAAGAATGAGGGAATCGTACTTCCCACTGCAGCCGATCCGTCTGACAAAGCTTTCTGAACGACCGGAAGATCTTTGGATGGTACCCAGCATTCGCCAATCAAACACTTTTTGGTAACATCCATATTGAATAGGTTTAAAGTGTGATAGATAGCTTTCATTTTTTTTATCATTATAGACCATGAGGGTAAATTTTTGGAAACGGTAGCCAAAACGCGACTACGATGATCTTCTGTCTGACTGAGCACCATCTTTAAGTCCTCTAAACGAGTGCACACCCCCTTAACCATTTCTTCACGCTCCGTATGTGAACTCGGGCATGGATACATAGAAGCATGAAAACCAGTGCACACTTTTTTGATGCGATTTTTTAATTGTTCACCTTGGAAAAATGCTACAAACACCGTCTTGTAAATTGGATGACCAGTAGTGGGATCGTTCAAAGGTTCATCCAAATCGGATCGTCTAAGGAATACGTTACCACGTGATATGCGCCATAACATACGCTCGAATGAGAACACGCGCTCCCGCTTAATAACGCCAGCTACAAATCCTAATCGTCCGCGGTTCTGTGCATTTGATTCATCGGGCATGCCGGTAATCCCACGATTGCTGCTATCCAGGTTGAGCACTTCCTGATCGGAGAAAAAACCTTGTGTATTCTCTAAAACCTTTCGCAATTCAGTTAATTCCAGAAAATTTGACTTTAAATTGACTTCATTCTGAGCCAACTCAAGAATCTCATTTTCTGTTTTCTCCAAATGCGCTTCTAGATCGATTATTTCTCTAGGATTAGGAGCTCGGGGAATGTCATCAGTAATTCCAGGCAAAATGATTCCATCTTTCTTGATCTCAGTTTCAATATAACGAATCTTTCTTTGCAACTCATCGCATCGGCGGACTTCTGTTACGAATTTACGTTGAAAAGCGTTAACACCGCTGTTCAGCTACAAAAGAAATGAAATTTAAAAAAAAAACGGTTTACGTTTGCTTGGGAAATCTATCACACGCACGTACGTCACGAAATTGAACACATCCTGTTTCTCCCAGTTCAGAAACGGAGGAATAGGCTGCTTCCGGTTGTATAAACATTTGGCACAACGCTATCTCCTCACTGCGAAACATATCCCCCATGATGAAAAGTTTTCATATAATCCTACAAATATCATTTTACCATTTTTACTGGCCATTTTGAACAAAGTATTATAGTTGTTCAACTAAAAAACATTAATTATTTGAGTACATTTATTTATTGTAACACGTTGATTCTGTGATCCAACCTCTGCAGATTGCCGTCACTTTTCTTTATTTAAAGGAGGCACCTCAGTCTTCATGTCTATTGAAAGCAAGCATTTTTTAAATCGCGCAAGTTTTCTATTTTATTTGGAAAACCTTAAAATATATCGAAGACATTGCGTAAAGGACGCATATTGTTAACCTTAAGCAATAATTATGGGAACAGGATCAGAGCTATGAAGTTTGAAAGACTAGGCAAGAAGCAAACAATCGCAAGCCTGATTTCACTACCTCACGCCTATGACGACAGAAAAACTACAGTAGGTCAAATGCTTCCACACATGCGTCCACCCTAATAGGTAGTTTAAAACTTTCTAAATACAAAAACGAAATTTAATCTTAGAAACTTAATATTCTCTGCATTCTGGTAATTGACAACAAAATACAAATATGATGAAAATCGATATAAAAATTCGTGAAAAATTGTCCTTTATAGGGAAAGACGCTACAATCTGTGATATTTATGCTTAAAATGTGTGAAGAATTGTATTAGCGAAGTAGTGTAAAAGTTTTCCCAAGGCAAAAGGTTACTTTTTCCAGTATGACCAGACGCCTGAAAGATGTTACCTGCACAAAAGGTATGGGAGGAGGAAGTGATAAGAAAGAATAATGTTTACGCAGAGTTCACTTAAATATACGCGGGCATAAAGTATGTGGGAAAAGTTCTACAAGAAAGTTGTTCTACAGACTAGTAGCGCTGTTGACGAGTGGGCAATCCTGCCAATGGGTCATGCAGTGCACCGGCAGCTAAAGGACAAATGATTGAAAACCATCCATCCATGAGCTCTTGACCTCTCCACTGCAAGTGATCATGAACCTCTAACTATCGTCTGAAAGTCTCCTTAAATATGAGCGAAGTAAACATTACTTTCGTTCGTACATAAGCAGTGTAAACGATGCGAACATCGGCTGGGATGAAATATTTTTTGGACCTTTAGGTTCCTTTTAAGACATGTCTATTTGCTTTATAACTTATTCTTATAACATATTCCGGCGCAGATTAGGTTTTGAATTAAGATCAAGATTGCATTAATGTTCCGAAAAAATTTTCTTAAATTGAAAAAAACTTCCAATAGCCTTAACAAGTTACATACTTGCAAACGATGTTTGTTTTGCATATGTACCATTTTTCCTACAACTTTTTAAATTCTCTAATAAAAGCAAACACATGACTTAAAAAAAAATTTTTTTGTTTCATATCACATGATTTTCTCCAGATAAAAATTTAAGCATTACTCAAAATGCTACTGCGAAACTTTATAGAGAAATTAATGCCAAAGATAATAAATGCCTGCAGATAGACTACTCGTTTGCTGTGACTTGCTTCAAACGCGCACTTAAATTTTACTATTGAGTTTAAAAAATATATGTTGGCGAAGCGGAATGATCGATCGAGTGTTCTCTTTGCACTCGTTGTGCCTTGAACGTGTACTTGAAATAATTCACTCCCTTTGTTATAGCTGAGTGAACAATAACTCGACAATGAACTAACACGTTCACGCATATTTCTACTTTGCGTTGGATATCGATTCTACGTATAATGAGATCGAACATATTGTGGAAAAAGGGGAAGGAAATAACAACACACACAAAAAAAACACATACTCCACCCGTAATAACTGAAATGAATACGTACAGCATAATCAAAATACAAAGAATTATTCAAGGAAATATCAAGCAGTCTTACGTAGCCACTTGTTAGTTTTTAGCACAATTTAAATATTGTAGAGATAGCTCTAAAATCGTACATTGCATTTGCACGCTTCTCTGTTTCATTCAAATTATTTAAAAATCCTAAGTAGAATCTATCTTAGAACGGAGCACTTCACATATTAAACCTTGAAGATCGTTTCGAGCTTCGTTTTACGTAATGTTTCTCGTTCCTTATGCAATGAAAGATTTATTTTCAGCTTTGTTTACAAAAAATATCTTCCCTTTTTTTATATATTTAAGTGCTCACCGTTTACTCAGTTTATTAAAATGCACCTTACTACAGCAGTTGTTGCTTTTTATCAATATCAATATAAGCACAAACGTATATGTCTCCACTTTTAAGAATTTTCGTCTTGGCGTATGGATGGAATTCAACTGAATTCAACTGATTTTAGTAAATATCCATTTAATGGCAACAGGTCTTAATTTTTTTTTCTCTCTAGCAATTTTACATTCTCAACTCTTTTCTAAATATACTCGCCTGTATATTGCTGCAATAATCTTGCTCTTTTTGTTTGTATATGTGAGCGAGACACACATAAATGATCTTAAACCGATTTTATAGTATCGCAGAGCAAAATGTGTGAGTTGCATTATGAGAAGCCCGAATCCGTCAGTGATATCAAACATGCCAATAACTAGCAAGAACGTTGACAGTCATTAATTAAAAATCTTGGAAATGTAAGCAACTAGATCCCCCTGCTTCTTAAGTACTTTTTGATAGAGTTTAATTGATTCCTCGACTCGATAATGAAATCAATCAGCTTTTAAGGTAAAGTAGTGAGTCTAGAAATAGTTTCCTAATCTTTTTAAAGAGAAAAGCGCTTATTTCAAGAGGATGGTAAATATTGGTTCTCAGCTATTTTAAGGCGACGTAAGCATCCACTTCTTTGCGATCATCATTCGGTCAAGTAAATTGCAAGTCATTGATTGAAGCCAACGTTAATCAATATAGAGCAATGCCTGATGCAGATCGGAACGAGGCGCATTTCAGTTATATGAGGGCTTCTCTCGTTTTCATATCGCCTCCATTTTTCTCTCACCATAATTCAACAGCACTTTCTGTTTTAGCAGATTGTTTATTTATTGAATATATGTAATATCAGTTTGTTTCATTCTTCACTCTGCAATAAAATTCTCCAGTTGTAGCATGAGATAGCCTTTAGTATATAAAAAAATATCTGCATCGATGTTTTGTCTCATCGACTTTACATTAAATATTTCGTTTTTCACACAAACTGGAACATGTTCGTTCTTATAAATTCTTTTATTGCCTTTGTAATACTACGAAAAAGAATCAAATGAAAAGAATCCAATGTATTTATTTAGCTTTTCCTTTTTCCTTTCCTTTCGCGATCGGCCAACATAACTTCAATATTACTTTGAGAAGTAAAAAAGATTGTCAATAGTTGAAAAGAAATTTTAATGAGAACTGCTTAATGACTTTATTGAATGTGACAATACATAAATACTTCCGTGCTTTTCATATACATGCTTATTGTATAAAGTGTACCGGATGAATATTCTCATTAATAGAGGATACTTACTTAAAAGCTAAACGTAAACACCTATGCAAACATAAAAGTATGAAATCTACTTTCATAACTTTTCTTTGCTTTAATGATTAACTGGCTGATTTTATGTGATGTTTGTGCTATATTATGTAATTTCACTGGAAAGCAAGAACGTCTTATTTATATTACAATTTCGCATAAATGTTACAGACTTTTTTTCACTGTATAAAAGCACCATTGTCATTACGATTATATAACAAACTAAGCGCCTAAATTAAAAAAGAAAAAAGCTAAAAAAATCAGTTTTGAAATTTAAATCTTGATTCACAAGAGCATTTTTGTTTTTTATCACCAAATGCAGATTTGAGATTCCGCGGAAGTGCTACGATACACATTTGAAGATTGAAAACGAGAAGTTCTAGAGAATTTTTAATAATTAGGAATTGTAATTAAACAACGGGGCTTGTGCTGTATTTCGAAAGACACCTTTAAAGGATATAAGCCAACTTTAACAAAATGCGTTCGATTTCTGTCAAGAAAGGAAACAAACTGCAAGTTTCCGCAAGCGACCTTTAACACAATTTATTCCTTGAAAAATTCTTGAAATTTTTAAATGCAATTTACAGATATTTTGAATTTGAAAATTTGTTCGTTTGTCTCGAGAAATTTCTGAATTACAAAACAATTCCTTATTTGCAATAAACTGTCTTCTTTCTAAGCCCACCTAATGCCAAACAAAGAGGTAAGGAAGTAAAGCGATATATTAATATCACTAAACAATAATATGTTGTTTCTTCTAAGGGAATAAGAATTAGTTAGCTTTTCCCTTGCTTACAATATATATAACGCAAGTATACATAGAAATCGGAACAGATAATTGAAACATACTGACCGACTTGCTGGAGTAGTAAGATGATGGCATTACTTTTATTGTATACATATTCATCCGTCGTCTATGTTTTCGCTTTTTAAATTCATAAAGATTGGAATAAAAAATTAAAACTGATTGGCCTTAATTGACTATCACAGAGAATAAATCCATTTGCAAATATATTCAGAATAGCCGAAGTAATGATATTAGCTGGAAAATAGCTCCAACTATTACGGCTTGAAACGTAACCTTCACCTTCACCTTACAAAGCGTTATCAATTTTTTGACAAATTATTTATATGCAAACATCTAGCGCTAATAACTCAATTATTTCAAATCCATTTGAATTATTTTTAAAATAAATTCATCCCTTTTTTACAATCTGTAACTCATAATTTGTAGTAAACTACAAAATATTCCTGCAGTTGGATTGAATTCTATTTTACGTTGGTGAAAAGTGCCATCTGAAACCAACAACTTGTGACCTGCGGCTAATATATATTGAATTACGTCGAAACTTCGAGGCTTTGTAACATTCATTGCAAAATAAGATTTGTAAAAAATAATAAAATTGTTATTGTGCGCAAATAAAACAAAAAAGATCTATAAATTTTTATACATAAAAAACTAAATCTTGTCGTTTGAAAGATAATCCTAGAAACGTCTGTCGATACATTTCCATATAACATAAACAACAAAAACTTTGTTACTAAATTTTAATAAAAGCGACGAAGTCGCAATTAAAAGTAAAAAATTAAAAATTGGAACTGAATGGTAATGAATTAAAAATATTAACAATAATTTACAATTGATGGCGATGGATGCGGTCTCAGACCAAAAGAAATTTTCCAAAAGGTTTACCAACTTTAAAGGTAATTGTAATTGTAATGGTAGTGACTTTGGTGAAGGTTTCCCTAACGCTAACAAAGGTAATGACTTCATCTTTGCGGCAGCAGAGGCACTCTTGATGGCAAGCTCAGCCGTTAAGTTAGAAGAAAGTTTCTTCAAACATTTTCCTTGAATAGTACATGTGCCTCGTAATAAATCTTTATCACATTCAATAGGGTGCGAAATTGCAATAATTTTGAGGAGTTTACAAAAGGAGTGAGTGCGATTGCAAGAATGATCTACACAAAACATTAGGGTCGCTATAATACTTTTCTTATGTCCTACATGTACCGGAGTTTCTAAATCCTTTTCACTGTTCGCTTTCTCCGGTAGTAAATGTCGTAACAACACTTCTATCAACTGCTTAGCGCAATTGAGCTTCAGTTTTTTTATAAAATATTTAAAATAGATTTTCATCATCTTTAGTTACGGCTGAAGCGGCTTTTTTGGTTTTTTTAACTCAGCTTCCTCATCGCGTTTTACTTCTGTATATCGTTCGCCTTTAAGCGAAACAATTTTGTTATCTCGATAGCGTACTAATTTCTTAGGTTCCATTTTCGGTACAACCGGCTTGTACTCTCTATTACTAGCATCCTTGTCCACGTAAGAATATCTAAAAGTAAATTTCCAATGTTTTTAATTCTTTGATTTTCATACTAAGCAATTTTTAAATCTACCTGGCTATAATGCGGTTTTTGAGTTCAGTGTCATCCACAACCACATTTTTGCGAGTGCCCAAGCCATTATGCTTATCTGTTAAACTTTGACCAGTTTCTTGCCGATGCAATAATATTTGAGCAGCACTGTTAATGTCGCCCTTAGATATGGCAATGCAATGTTTCACCTTTAAAAATGATAAAACAGGTACAAATACAACGATAAACGATCATAAATTTATCCCACAAAACATTCCACAATTGAAAAATAGTATATATGAATAATGAATGCGATATTAATATATGATGGTATGTGGATTGATACTACAGTGGAGCGCTTATATGTGGACGAACCAAAACTGATTGTGCTCATTTTCATCAACCATTTCCACAACGTAATCCTAAAGACTTTTGAGTCAATGTACTAAATAACAATATATCTCAGATTTACGAAGTAAATCATGTTGCTTCATAACTTTACTTCTTCCATGTTTAAATATTTTTGTGTTGCGAAGTTGTTAGGATTAAGGATTATAAACTGGTTAAGAGTGGGGTTCATGCAATGCTCGCGAGTTCACTGTTGCATGCATTTTAACGAGCAAAAATATTTCTAATTGAAATTAATAAAGTGTTACGACCAAGACGATGAGTAGATATAAAAATAATAAAAAGATGTATTTAATAACGTGAGAAGTGAATACAGAAAGACTTATGTCGTACATTCCCTTGATTTTAGGGAAGAACCACCACAATTAAATGCACTTTGAAAAAAAAATATCATGTTCCCGCGAGCTGATTTCACTAATTACAAAATCTAAGGATAGTTGTGGAAAAATTACTCACTTCTACATAAGCACTGTCAGGAAACATTTCCTGCAATATTTCTGCCTCATTTAGGAAATAGTCGCAGGTAGATGAGCTGTCCGTTGAGCCTCCATCGCTAGTCTCAGATAAATGTTGGGAGCGTTTCTGACTACCGCTTGTCCTGTCTGAGTTAATTTCTTCCTTATCGGACGAAGAAGTATTGCGTGGACGCAATTTCGGTTCTGGTATTATGTCAGAGAGTGATAGCGAACTAAAATTTTAAAAAGCAGCCAATTATTTATAATTTTCTTTTTTTTACTTTTAACTCACTGCAAAGATAAGTTCGCTGGTTGGTGGTTATCTTCGTTTTTCTGAAGCTCAATTAATTCATTGGCCAACTTATAAATCCATTCGCATATAATACTTTGGTCAATAAAAGAGAATTCTGCAAAATAGGCACCCATCATTTCCACAAAACCATCCACATCAAAGCAGGGGTCCTGAGAAGCTTCTTCCAAAATGGAAATAATGTAAGATAATACAATATCATCAACGACGCTAAAATCAGCACCCGGAATATGCACGCCGACAAACTGTTCCAGGCTGCCTTTCACCAATTCATGTTGCTTTTGTAGGTTTGTCATTTTCTTTTAGTTTAATTGTAATTATTTACTGTATTTAAATCGAGGAAGTTTAAAAATATAGTTGTAATTTTTACTTCAAAATCAATAAAATAAGTTTTTACTGAAATCGAATTAGTTTAATTTATTGTTACAAAATGCGGAGAACGAGCCTTCCTTTCTACATTAGAATTGAAAAATTTTAACACTCAAGAAAGGACTTTCTTTCCTGCCCTGCCTTTTTAAATTTTTTCATATACTAGCAAACATATTTATGTATACGCAAATAGCCAAGACTAATCTTCACCACAGTATTGTAGTGTAATACTGCGTCAAATCCTCAACAATAAGTAATTGATTTAACTTATTACCTGTGCCTGTTGTAATTATATCAAACCACACGCTTGGATTAGTTACTTTTTCTTAACGGATTTAAATTCTCCTACTTTCAGAAAGTGTTAAATATTCCTCTTTGTTTTAACTCTTCGTCAAAAATCTTCAAAATTTGTGCTCTTTGTGCAAAACACTTGCAGTACCCACGAATATCATCTTTTAATAAGAACAGAGTTGTTGATTTTGCACAAAATACAACCAGGGTTTTCTCACCGATCGATTGCCGTCTTCTTTGACGCTTTTTACACCATACCACCAAACAAATCTACTCTTTTGACGTTTCTTGTTCATCAAACAATATTGACAATTAAATCGCGAGAATCAAATTTTTATTTGATAAAATGAAATTAAAGAAACCACGAGCGATAATTTCGTCGCGAAAAAACCGTAGGTGTTGAGCGAAGTTGAAAGAAATCTTTCTACTTTTGATGTTTCCTTCTGCAAACTTAAAAGATGAAAGAAACTTATGAAATGAAACCTAAAGTTTAATTTTCGTCGGTAGAATATTTATAACTCTGCAACGTAAACCAATTAAAGGCGGAGTATTATATGAACAATATTCAAGTTTAGTCCTTAAAAAGGAAAAATAGAAAACTTAAACAATGTATTTTATTAGAGTAAACATTATAAATTAATAATAAAGCAAAAAGTGTTTGTATACAAGTTGTCCTCATTCAACATTCATTCATCTCATATTTATTTTCTTTCCCTTTCTTTGCTGGAAACACTCGGTCTAAGAACATTTGTAATTCTCCATTCCGTCAAGTGTTGAAATCTTCACGAATCTAACTGATATTAAAATCTCGTTTAAAATGGTATTTGGTGCTTACAAATCATCGATATCTATTAATTTTTCGGCGCGCTTTTATGTCTTTTTTTTTTTGTAAATCTTTTTATAAATACAATAAGTGTAATATTGCAGAATTGAGAAGCCTAATTTAATTAGAAATTAATTAATTCAATTACAGATTATAAAATAAAAACTAAATATTTCGCTCTTGTTGCCCAGTAAGTGGGAACTTCATCAGAAACTTTGTCCCGTTCCAGAAAATTTGCAAATAAACCTACTTGACAAGGACAGTTTTTTTTCTGATTGTCTATTTAATCCTATATCCTCATAGTCCGTTTACTATCTACCAAACTTTCGATAACACGGTTGTCACTAATTTCATCATTTCTTACTTGGCATATTTGTGTTTAAAAAATTATGTAAATTAATATTGGTCTAATCATTGAACTTTATTACACTTTTTATGGTATATTACACTTTATAGATAAAGAAATTTGTTGATAATGGAAGATCCTTTGTTAATAGTTCTTTACCTTTAAACCATTTTCTAGATCGCATGCAATCATGGCGTCTAATATTAAAGTTAAAAAATATGGTGCCGGCTGCCAACCTTTCACTGTTTTAATTGAAGGCAATATTGGCAGCGGCAAAACTACGTTCTTGAATCACTTTAAACAATTCGAAGATCAGGTTTGCTTAATAACTGAGCCCGTAGACAAATGGCGCAACCTGCAGGAGTTTAATTTGTTGGTATGTAGATGATATGGAAAATACATATATTGAGAAAGAATGTAATTATGTTGGTAATAAAAAATCAGAGTTTGATGTATTCGCAACCGGACAAATGGGCTATGCCGTTTCAATCTTATGTGAATTTGACGATGTTGCAAAGCCATACTATGCAAACCGATAAGCCTGTAAAATTAATGGAACGATCATTATATAGTTCCAAGTATTGTTTCGTTGAGAATTTGTATAAAAGCAAATTGATGGAACCTGCCATGTACCACATTCTGCAAGAATGGTATAAATTCATCGAGGAGTCAATACACATTCGGGCTGATTTAATAGGTAATTAAATACTGGAATTTTGATTTATACTCCTCGTTAAGAATACATGGATAAATTATATACTACTTTTCTCCTTATATCAATGAATATTTTTCAAGACAAAAACTTAAGTTTCACCTTATTGGACCTACTCAATACCAATTATAATAATCTAAATTATTGAATTTAATTCAATATTAATTATTAACAACGATAACATATTGGGTTAAAATCGTCGTTTATCTTAGGATTCTGAAAAGCAAATAGATTCGGTTGAAATTCAGGCAGCATTTCCGCACATATAAGCGGTCTCCTTTCTTTTTATAAATTGCAATGTGCTCAACTTCGATGCATTTACCTTTTCTGGATTCGTTCGTTCGTCTTATGGTTCTGAGGATAAATTGAATATATTCATTTTTATAATCGTTCGCTTAATGAGATTATAAGATACACTTATCTATGGTCTATTTTCGGATACGCGCTTTTTTGTTTCACATATTGTTGACAAAATCATTGTCTTTTTGGCTTAGCCTTATAAATAGATTTAGAATATTCTGGTTCGAATAGGTTTATCTCCTAACCTTCTGTTTAACCTCCCGGATATCGCATTCTAAACTTAGTGCACGTGTACGCACTTTAATTTGAGATTATCCAACATTTGTTTCAACTAAAATATCTAACAATTGTTTTTCTAAGTTTACCTGCGTACATCCCCAGACATCGTGCATAAACGCATACAGAAGAGGGCCCGTTCGGAAGAGAGTAGTATATCCTTAAAGTACTTACAAGAATTGCATGACTTACATGAAAATTGGCTAATGGCTAATCAGGGCTACAATTCAAAAGTAAGTGCGTAATTTTAATTGACATTCATTCATATATATATATATATATATATATATTTATTTTTTGAATTTGCGAATCAATTTTAAGGTCATTGTTTTAAATGCTGATTTGGACTTGGAACAAATTGGCACTGAGTACAAACGTTCTGAAAATCATATAATTAATGCTGCCTTTGCTCAACAACAGGCTGTGCTGGTCTCGCCTAGTAAAAGTCATTCCTTAGACGACTAATTAATATTCAGTCTACAAACTGCAGAAATTGTAAATATTAAATGAAATAATTGAAAAAGGAGAAGCTACGTATATGGAAGCCCCAATCATTGGAATAACAAGTACCTTTTCATCATTGCTGTGTAAAAACTCTTCTATATTAACAAAATAAGCTGTGGAAACAATCAACAATCAAATCTGAATCTTAAGTGTTTTGCGTCTATATTTTTATCTATCTCACAATATTAAATCCAAGAAAGCATGAAAGCAAATGTAGACTTTAATTAAATAAAATTCAACTGTATAAAAGACTCTTTTATATGAATTCAATTTTAAGAGCACAAAAACAAAAAAAAGGATATTCGAAGTCGTGACAAAGGTGCAAGTATTTGTAATCGAATGCTTGTAGTAATAGTAAGGCAGTCAAGATTTGATTTTAAGGGTCGTCAGAAAGATAAACTTGACAACTGCTATACATACGTACTTGTACAATGAATTCCTGCTTATAGACATTGACGTAGAAAATGGCGTGTCATCGTGTTGTTTGTTTTCAGAATCCTGCATGCTATGACTATTTCCGTCATACGTGCCAATTAAGGGAGACAATTGATTTTGAGCCACACTTTGGGATATTGAAAAGTTATACGGGACATATTTTGAAGTTTAAGAATTTGCTCTAATAACAACTACTTAGTTGCACGCAGATATGCAGTAAAGGTTAAACCGGAATGAACTAATTTTTCACAGAAATTAGTTAACCTTAATCTAAGTATAGTGTGTGTTTAAAGAAATAATAAACATTTCGATGAATTTCCTGTTGTTAACCAACCGTCATCCTGTCTTAAAATTTTACTTCTTTAAAAATGAATTCCAAAATTCATCTGCTTCTACAATAATCAATCTGAAATTATACTTGTTATATTATACTTTGTTATCGTCCATTACATATTTTATATATAGAAAAAGTTCCTGATCATCATAATCGTGTACATACTTAAAATTCTTCTTGAGCCACTAGATCTAGTGAGAAAACAAATGTTAACAATAGATCCGTGTCCAGTGTGCTTCGCTCCTTTTTTTCCTTTTTACTAAGAAATTTTGCTACTTTTATATCTTTGAAATAAGTTTTTTTTCCACTGAAAAGATTTTAAACTAATAATCAAATACTTTTTAACTATGTATACTTGTTAACATTTTTTATTTATTGCTATTTTGGAGGCGGGCCGTTAATAATAGTAGGCGGCCGGACACCTGCCAAGGTGCCTAATGGTGGTGGCGGACCCATCATAGGCCCCATAGGTCCCATGATCGGAGGAGGTGGTCTCATGCTCATCATAGGCGGCGGCATAGCTCCTGGCATCATCATTCCTGGTGGCATTCCTGGCGCTCCCGACAACCCCGGAGGAGGTATTATACCAGGCCTTGGTGGTGCTGCCATATTTGGGGGTATTGCTACTCCAGGTTTTGGTGGAACCCCACTGGTAAACGGATTCTGAGTAATTTTACCAGCTTTAAATGCGGCTGTAGTGGCATCGATTAAATGTTGCGCTTGTTCCTCCATCCATTTTTGGTAATAAAATTTAACGTTGTCGCGATGCTTTCGTCCTGTACAATGTGTTTTTCGCACCGACGGGGAATCGTGGGTTAAGTATGTGTCACAGTAGTCGCAATAATATTTCGGCATTCCCTAACTTTTTTTTTATTCTGTTGGAAAAGCTTATAAACAAATATTTAACCGTGTTTAATTATTGCAGCTGAAAATTATTTTGTTATTAAAGGTTACCATGATTTCACATTTTTGTTCGGACTAGTGATACAATAATATTAAGTCAACCATGATATGAAAAGGCATGCAAATAACAAGACAGCAGAGACAATGTTACACAACGGAATGAAATGATATCTAGTTGTATTCTATAATAGCAGAGGGACGAAATATTAGGCGTATTTTATGCGAAGTATGTTCTATTTATAGCAGCAGTTGCGTTTTTGAGATAAATAGAAATTAAAAAACAATTTTCATTGCCTTGTGTTTCATATAATCTATTCTCTACGATTAAAAGTTTCCCTGTTCCATGTTACGCTCCGTACGTTAGAATATTTCCTGCAACGTCCATTAAATTTTTTATTAGAGGGTTGGTGAATTTACTTTCCTTAATGACCTAACATAAATTAATCGACATTTTGCGATTTCGGCTATTTAGAAATAAATAAATAAATGAACGCTAATTAAGCTGATAGCATTCTAATGTAAATAAAGTGATAAATATTTCAAGATATAAATATTTCATGTTTTTTAAATATTTTCTTCTTGATGTAAGAGCAATAAAATAACTATACTTTCATTATTATTTTTACAAAGGAGATGATTATTTGCTTATTCAGTATAATTTTTATATATATAAATGTTATATAATTTTTAATAATTTTTACGTTCTTTTTTAAATGTTTTTATATACGCATTTCACGAAATTCTTGATAATCAACCATATATAAAAAGAAAAATTGCTTTAAGAAATAATACAAATACAACTTAACAATTTTAAGTTTTATTAATTCTTTTATTGAACTAGAAAAAATTATTCAATTAACTTTCTTCCCTACAACGCTTATAATATAATCCTATCATTCTTTTTAATTTTCCTTCATTTGTTATCTCTTAAATAATTTAAAGGATAAAAATTGATATAGAAATCCAATCGAAAGCTAGTTCTCTTATCCTAATAAAATTCTAATAAATATAATATAATAAAACAAATAAGAAGGAAAAAAAAAGCATGCACACAACCAGCATAGTGCCACACTTACCGGTACAGGACCGAATTGCAAATGAACGTCTAAGCCATCGCAAACATGCATAAGCTTGGCACCCGATAATAGTTAACAACAATTAACTTTCAACTCATCGTGACTTTTTAAGGTTAAGAGCTAATTTAAGTACGACACAGATCAATTACGCGCATTAAACAATGTTGCTTTAATGGACTTTAAAGAGTCCGATAATGAGAATAAGTGATAGACATCATTTAGGTTCTTGCAAACAATTCTGAGCGGGGTAAACAACTCATAATTATATTTACATTGACTAAGCTTAACCAAGATAAAGTGCCTAGAGAAGAAGTTGGGAACATTAAAGCTTATTTCACCAAGTAATGCAGGCGAGTCAATAGCATCATTTATTACTTTGATATTTTTTTTATTATTTTATTTATTGAAAACGCAAATACAAGAAATAGTATAATAAAAGTATTAAATTTTCAATCTCCTATGATATATTCTTTTATTCTACTTATGCTTAAATTCAAATCAAATGAGCTGTTAATTGAAATGAATTATATACTAAATTATATTAAAATATAAATTGAATTATATTGAATTATAAATTGAATATTTAATATTGAATTATTAAAACACGTATACCTGAAATTAAAATGTACATTCAAGAGCTTTTTTTATTTTATATTTTAAATAAATAAAAAATAATATTATAAAAAATGGACTTATTTATTCGAAAGATGAGATGTACGGTGGCTACCACACGGTATACTTTAATTGAATTTTCAGGTTCAACAATGCGCTAGCCTTTAGAAAAATACAATCCCGCATATTGGTATTTACTGGCAGTAATGAAGCGCATCTCAATACATGTCCTATATGAATGTATTGACAGAGAAATTGGGTGTTGTTCTAGGTGTTTGCTCTTTGGATAAATCATTGAGTTTGTTGTAGCAGGTTTGTGGACATTGCCGGTGGTCAATAGCCTTCGTTAGCCTTCATACTATATGTCTTTAAAGCATTTCTCTATGTAATAATGAATAGGCCACTGTATTTCATTATAGATGTGTCTTTGTAAATCGAATATATATTTTCAAGCATATAGTGCTTTCTAGAGATCATTAGCATGTAAACATCTCTCACCTGATGATCGCCATTCTTCAGAATAAAGCCTTTAAGGCTACCATCTTCAATCTTGTTATTTTACTAAACTGTATTGGACGGAAATCGGCCGATAAATTCGATAGTTAAGCCGCTCGAAACGGTATATATCACTAAATAAATCTATCGACCAACTTAGATCTTTAATTATAAAGACGACCCTTTCGAATATTTTAAGAGAAATTTGTTCCGTAAAAATCCCAATAAATGCACGTAGTCATATAAGACGTTCTACTCTCCAAGCTCTTTTATTTGGTACCCATATAGCTGCTAATATTAAGAAAAGAGTCTACCATATTCATTTTAGAATCAACTCATTTTTATGCAGATAATATATCTTCATTTGAGGAGTGCCAGATAGTTTTAAACATTCTGTCTTGTCTGCCTTATGATAAATAAGCATAAAACCTTAAAAAAGTGAAAAAAAACAAAATTTAATCTCCAATAACTTTGTGTGGGCACGGTCGACTTGTTCCATTTTTGCAAGAAAAGAGTAAACAGTTTTGTAAAGTAATTGTGGAATATTTCAGCTTTCTAACTTTAATAATTTCCGAGTAACGAGAAAAAACACAAAAATTTTTATTAAGAAAACCGGAGTTGAGTTGTGTTTACGCTCCACTGCGCGCTTCTGCTCTGACCAATTTGGATCACTTTTAACACCAATATGCGTGCAGAAGCTTCAAACGTTTCTATCAAATTTGATGTCTATATCTTCACTTTTGCGACCAGGACTGTGCCAATAACACACACCACACAGCCACATAGACGAACGGACATGGCTAAATTAACTCAGAAATTCAGGCTGATCAAGAATATACATACTTTATAGGGTCTCCGAGGCTTACTTTTGGGTGTTACATATAATCTAAAAAAACAAAATGAGTATACCACCGTCTTACAGTGGTGTGTATTAAAAGTTAAAAATTTTAAAAGAGAAAAAAATAAAAGGTTTTAAATTATACTCTTTCCCGAAATAAATAATAAAAATTATTTTTCAATTTGAAATGCTTTAAACGCGGTTTCTGTAAAATAGTAAAAAAAATTTTTCCCAACATTCGTGCAAGAATCAGGTGTTTAAGTCGTATAAACACAGATGTATTTTATGTCTTCTTCTTCTTCTGCTATTCAGCCAAACAATAACAGAAGATTTTATTACCATCTCTGTGCTTTATGAAGTTTTGTGAAACAATGTCGCATTTGAATTCTGTGTGTGAATTCGTGATTCGTTATTCGTTAAGTATTAGTGCAAGTATGAAGTGTGTAGTGAGAGCGGCGTTCTACTTTTATTGCTTTTGAGCAAATTTAAGCAGCTGTGTCAGCTTTTTAGTTCGTGCATAAAGAGAATTTGCATGGAAATAAAAAGATCTCGTTTCAGATAATTTATGAATGAAATATCTTTTTGAAATTGAAAAGTGCGGACATAATATAGCTTTATATATTTTTGTGCCTGTAAAATGCGAAGTACAAATAAAGGCGGAAGAAAGTAAACTGTATTAAAGTATTAAAGATGTTTAAAGAAATCAAGGCGATGGTTTAAGTAAAATCTAAATCAGGTTCTAAGTGCAAGATCGTCATCGTTGCATCGTCATTAATTAAAGGAATTTAGTTACCATTCAAATTGTGATACGTGAAGAAAAACCAGTAAATGTGAAGCGGAGACATAATACGAAAAGAATAAAAGAGCAAATAAAACGTAAAAGCGAGCAGTCTCTTATTTTACTCTTATGCGACGGGGAATCTACGGATGAGCGTATAAAGTGGTCATACCGGTTTTTATAATTTTTTTTGTTGCTATTGTTGTTGCCTTTTAGTAAGTTAATATTAAAAACAAATGTGTGTGTGCGCTTATATAGGTGTGAAAAATCTGTTATCTAGGCGTATATATGTTAGAGAAATATCTAATATAATAAACGATATTGAATTTTAAAGAAGGTGTATAATGGCATTAATATAAAAGGAAAAGGATAGTGATTATTTAAATTATGGTGCATTATTAAATTTAACAATAGTTGATAAAATACAAAATACATATATATAAATATACGTATTGCTATTTACGTATATAAATATTCAAAAATGCCATTTGTACAACGCGTAGTACAACCGGTACATATTGCCCAAGCTTGTAACTTTATATCCGCTTCCGGTAACAAAACAGCAAAATTCAATTGCATTGCCGACAAATGTCAACACAAGCATTACGCAAACAAAAAGCAGCCGTTGAATGAATTGCATCATGTAAAAGATTCCTCTGTTAATACCCGAGAAAGAAGTACCCGTGAGTCCATTGCTTTGACCGCGGAGACAGTTTCGTATAGGGTCAATGTGAAGAGTGGTGTACATTTGGAAGTGCAAGCAAACGATGCGCGTACTCCAGTAACCCAAGTCATTGTGCATGCAAACGGTGTAGAAACCCAAAGAATATCTCCACTTGATATAGATATCACCGACAATTCGAGCAATGCAATCATCAACAACAGCTGCTCCTCAAGCTGTTACCTAAACGCTAGCGACGCTACGAAGCATAACGTTTATTCGTCATTGTTTCCGACTCCTCAAATTCCTATTAAAAAATTGAAAGAACATGTAGAATTTTTATCCTCAGCAACATCACCGATTCGTTCACAACACACTTCATTTTCTCCGTCCGCAACAAAAGATTGCGTGAGTGGCATAGGTGCAATGTCGAAAAGCCGTTCTGCTGCAGTGATTGTTGCCGGACACGAATTCGATTCGATAAGCAATATCACCCTTAGCAATGCGTTACGTCAGCTGGCTTCTTTAGTGTTGATAGCCAGCGATATATTTGCAGACTTGCATAAAGAATTGCGGATTGTAGGTGAACGTGCACGAGTTGTTCAAAATAAAATTATTACGGTGGAACGGAACGTTAGTGATTATGACCCGAAAACGGTTACAGTTCGTAAGTGCTGCATTAAACACTGGTACCCTAGTAGTACCTTAGTATTATAAATTCTTTCCTCTTCAGTTCATCTTATGTTACGTAGGAGCAAGAAATTAGCACATACAATGTTGACCAGTAATAAGACAGTGAAAAGCATTGACGTAATTGTATTCACACAAAGTAGCTTTTAAAGTGTGTTTTTTTATTTGTATCGCTTATCTTCCAAAGCAATTTGTTATACGGGTTTTTAACAAGCATTGATGGTAAACAATAAAGCGTTTTCTTTTTTATTTTTTCATCGCCAGAGTTTTAACTTGCTAAAAACAGTTTGATGAATTTTCTAAAAAATGAAGTCATATAATTGATTAGCAAAAAAATGATGAAGAAGATGATAAGAAAGCAATAAGAATGGGCGAAGAAGCATAAGCTCCAGCAGTCCCATTATCGTAGATGAATTACATGTTTGCATTCAGCATCTTTGTTTTGCAGTGTTATTGTAATGCCGTCGATGGATCGATAAATATTTCAGAAACTTACCATTCGAAAGAAAAATCGTGTATATTACGTTCCTTAGAAAATTTGGACATTTCAAGTTACAGGTCATGCTTCCTTAAAAACAGAATTTTCAGGACTTGTGCAAGATAAGCACTTTAATACGAAAGCTTCGTTCCAAACGGTTTATAAGCTATGGCTGAACATTGCAAAATTGTCATTTCTCCACGAGATTACGTGAGTAATTTCCTGCCTTTAAATTGAAATTTTCTCGTGGAAAACACCTTATGTATTTTCTGTTGCAATCTTCGAATAATAACATAATATCGAGAGCATTCGATTAAAGTTTTGTTTATTTGATCAAATGCAATTAGTTTCTTAACTATTTCAAAAGCTGACGGTCTCTTAAATGTTTCAATGAGCAAAAACTAGCATTAATTCGTCTGCTCGCCGAACACGGCAATTAAAGCATTAGGCATTGTTTTATTTCATTGAAATGAACGGTTACTTTTTGAAACTCAGAATATTAAAATGGCACATTTTATTGCATACTATGGCAATCTTCAAAATTTCTGTTAAGTAAAATGCGCAATATTCGGTCTCTGTTTAGGCTTTCAGTCAGGCTTTCAACTATTTTCAGCGATTGCATGAAGTTCCTTAAATATTAGAATATAAAATGCTTCCGATTCCAATTTTATGATTAAATGAAATTTAAATCTGACGCTTCTATTTTTTGGCTGCGTAGCGATAGGAATTATTTATACTTTGTTTTTCATTTTATGTGCAAGTTGCATATGAAGACAGAATATCCATAGCCCAATTTTTCTCTTTTCAATCAGCTGAATGTATCTCTCCTTAAATTCAATTGCCCGACAATACACACAAATGTTACAATGTCATAAATGTTAGTGCTCAGTCATAATAAGATTTAATTGTATAAGCATTATTAAAACTATTGCTGTAATTAACGTACTGTTGAGAAGTTGAGTGTACGCGTATAAAGAAGGAAAGGAAAGAGAATTTTGTCAATATACACTCTCGTGTGAATGTAACTGTATCAGATGTCTCATCTTTGTGCGTTAAATTTTGAGGAAATTTGTGCATGCTACGGTGGTTTTAATCCATGTCGAGCAGTGAAATTTTAACTTTTTTCCATAGAAAGCAGTTTTACGTTAGTGAATTCCTTAAAAATGTAGCCCGCTTGAAGTCAATAACAAATTTGTTTGTTTATTTATATCTACTTGAATTCTCAATGCTTTTATTTATTCAATCTCATGACCTAGAGCACCGTTACCGTTTCTCTTTACTAGGTAATACAACGTTTTTTCTTATCTGTACAATGATAAATCAAAATTATTGCCTCGCATAGTCAGTCAGTGTGTGTTAAAACATTATTTAAAATTGGCGAAAACAATTTTTCCCTCTCCGAAGTTTTTAGTTTGTTTCAAAACACTCTGCCCGTGATCGACCGTTTGTTTTTTATAACCCGTCTTTCTCGGCTTTAAAAATCCTTGTTGTTATTAGGCGCCAAACCTGCATTCGCTGATGGACATTGGATAATTTTTTAATGCTTCAAAAGCAACATGTTCGTGCGAATATTTGAAAGATTGTATTGATCTAAGGAACTATAAATTGCCAGGCATAGGGAGCTTCGTCGGAAGAAACGAACTTATTAGTGAGTTTTATTGGAAAATGCATTCAGTCAGCTTTGGTTCATTTCCGGACGCTTAGCCATATACCCATGATTCGTAATGAAATGAGTTGTTTTATTTTGTAGAATCTGCCTATAAGTTTGCTGGCTCTGTTACAATAAATTTGAAAATTGAATATTTCCTAAAAATAAATAGTTTAGCGTCAAATGATACATTCAGATGGTTTTATTTTCACGGCATCGTTATTTTCCGTAGGTGCTCCTCTGCTTGGGTATATATGATTATAGCATTTTCTCTTTAAGAAAGCAAACGTATACATTTGTCAACAAGCCTAAGCATATTTATATCTATTTCCCATAGAAACTGATATTTTTGCTGAAAATGCATATTCAACCGTCTTAAGCAGCCCCTCTGACGATAAGGGTGAGAGTTAACTTTCATACAATGTAATTATTGTTGTCATTGCAGGGGTAATAAGTGAAACCAGAGAAACCTTATTGTAGACCTTGTAATGCTTTTCATTTACATTTTTTACGTGCGCACTTCACACTCCCCACTAAACCATTAAAAGAAGATGCGTATGTGATGTTCCTTAAGGATACTTGTGTATGTTTCAGGCCCGTAGCATAGCTTTTAACTTCAGGAGTAATTCTTCCTTGTCAAGTTTAATAATTTCCTTCGCTGTCGACCTTTTCTAATAAATTTTTATAATCGGAAAAATACCATTTGGCATCACTTTGTGAATACAATAAAAATTTTTTTTTAATTATTAGAAACAATAATTCTCACTCTATTTTTTGTGCTGTTATCGATTTCCTGTTTTTTTTTTGTTATTTTAAGAAAAAAATCGGCTCAATTATCCGCATAATATAAGACATTAAAAGAAAGTATTTCTCTGCATACAACGACGGCGAGAGATCTCACTTATTGGTCGCCAGGAAAATTTTCCCTCTTACCTCTTCAATTGTTACTTAAAATTGGAAGAGCACTATATTGATTCGTCTATGGTCGCATTGTTTGTGAGTTTATAACGCTTTTGAAAATATCTGCAAAATGCTTGTGCTTAGGAGCCTTACTTGACTCAGCGAAGCATTTATAGACGTGGATTGGAATTAATTCCAAGTGTACTAATTTTTTCTTAAATTAATTCGTAAACTAAAAAAAAAAAAATTTAAATGTGTCGTTTTGTTCTTACCGAGCTGTCTGTCGTCTATCTCTCAAACACCTCAGACCAGCAAAAGAAGACTCTCCCGGTGACCGTACGGCTCTCAAACTTGATGTAGACGTTAGTTAAATCTTAACAAAGAAAGCTTTCAATTCTTATTGCTATTGCGTACGATTCTTGCGGTAAAAATCTTTACATATCGACTCACAGACTGGCAAGAATGAAAGGCATCAATTTCCTAAAAACGAAAAGAAGCATTTTTCAAGTGGACGATGACAGCGAAGGACAAAAATAGATAATGTACACAATTGACGGAAAAATTTTCTATTTATATATATTGTTTCTTAAGATATAGTCTTTCTCGTAACAAAATAATACCAACGTATACTAAAACAAGAAAATTATATTTGATTATGGCCGAATTTTTTATATCGAGCACCTTCGTGTTAAAGGAGAATAAGCAAATACTTGTGCTGCACTTTGCGAACAATGACCAAAATACCAAGCAAAGGTTTTCTCATCTTGTGGCGTAGTATGAGCGTGCCCTTTGACCAAAATTTAAAGCTGGTGTCTTCTTTTTACCACGCACATTATGCAGACTGATGGACACAGACCGAGATACATTGCCCTGCTTAAGTGGAATCGGAATTACAATAATACATACAATAATACAAATATTTTATGGAGTTTTGAAAAATTTTCTCTGGTTGTTGCAAAAATTATGACATGTTGAGCACGCCAACATGTCATAACATGTATCGGGGTTAATGTGAAAATATATAAATTTCAACTCGTCTTAAATGGTTTAAGATAAAATAAAGAATATCGTGTATATCATAAATTAAGATGGGTATGGAAAGGACATAAAGCATACATGCATCGCATTGAATTCGAAAAGCGGTTTTGTGTTGATTGAAATTTCGTCAGATATTTGAAGCGTATTTAAAAGTATTTGAACAATTGTTAATAAAGAAAAATTAATCAAATTTCGTCATTCTAGGTTTAAAGCCAAATGCGTTGCAACCGCTTTCAATACGTAAGAGCACAAGAGCGCTGCTCAATGTTGAAGTTTATATTATTAAAGATGATTAATAAAGAAAGAGGATATTTCTAAAACGAGAATATATCTCAAACCTTAAAAATTTCCGAGATATGCAATTTCAGACATAAGAGAAGATGATCGCTTCAGGCATAAATATTTTCGCATATTCTCTTGCTTTTCGGAAGGGTTCAGTTTCCAATAAATTCATTGTTTTTTTTTTTTGTTTTAAGAGGTAAAGAGAAAGAGAGAGTAAGGAAAGCTTCTTTGAGACTGGTAATTATCTCCACGAAATCTTTTTCCATTTTAGAAATAAATGCTAGAGTTACAGCTAATGCTAAATATATCTTCTCCACGCTGGCTTTAGCAGATGAAGAGCTGGACTTACTATCCTCTTGTATTTATATGCATATATAACATATACAACACAAGAGAGGCAAATGCAAAAATTAATTGATTTTACATATCGACATATTTTCGATGATTAATATTCCATTTGATGTTTGAAGTAAACAGTTAACGGTTCAGAAAAAATATTATAAAATCTAATACCTTAACCGCGCTAGTCAATATGCAAACATAAATTGAGTATCCTCATATGTATATATATATAGAAATTGTCGTATAAGAATATTAAAATGGTCGACGTGTGGTCCTTGTAAAACCGCCA